CAAGTTGAACAACAATTATTAGAGAAGACACAAGATTTTGTTGCTGCAGAATTTCCTATTCAAACAGGAACTGATGGTTTGAATGAACTTAGTTCTGGAGAGAATATTCCAGTTTCGTATGATGGAAATAAGCAAGAAGAAGAAGCTGGATTTTATGAAGAAAAAGGAGAGGGAGAAGAAGGAGAGGTAGTAGGTGATTGTGATGATGTTGATGAAATTGTTGAGGATGAGGAACAAGAAATTTTTGATGAGGAAGGAGGGGAAATTGGTGATGATGAATTTGAAGTTGGAGATGAAGAAGTGGAAGATGAGGAAGTTGATGTTGAAGAAGTTGGGGAGGATAATATGGGACATAATTTTGAAATTGAGGGACCTCCTCGTAAACAACGAAAAATGTTTGAGGAAGAGCAGCCTGAGGAACAACAAGTAGGGAAATTAAATTAATTTTTTTTTTCTTTGTAAAAAATTTTTTTAATTAGGAAAGCGAGACAATGAAAAGTTTTGGAGAAAATGAAGGAGAAATGAAAGTGGATGAAGAAGACGATGGGGGAATGAAAGAAGAAGAAGAGGATGACGACGATGATATTCAACTTCTTTAAGGGCTAGTAAAAATACCTTTTGGGATCTCTCTTCTATATCTATCTCTTTAAGAGAAAGGATTTTTAAATTTTATTTGGATGTTTTCTAAACCTTTTTCTTATAATTGTTTATTTTTGTTTTAAATTTATTGACGGGAATTTTGACATAAATGATTTAAAAGTAAAAAAGAAATTTTTTAATACAAATTGGTTGTGTGGTTGATTTAGTGGGATTTGTCAAAAAGAGCCCTTGGGTAATAAAAATAATAAAAGTTCTTAGTCATTTTAAAAGTAATGAAAGCATTTAAAAAAGAGGTAAAATATCTAGTTAATTTTACTTAATATAATATATGTGAAATTAGATTAAGCTTAGCTTGGTCAAAGTCATGATATAGCACAGCCCTGATTCTTCGCTCACATATGTAGATCTGTATTTTTGTATGTTGGAGCATGCTCTGACAATTTTTTAAAATTTCTATCTATCTCTAAGACAAAAGATTTTTAAACCCAAATTTCCGCCGTAGCCTAAAATTTTTTTAAGTGTATTTTATTAAATTTATTGACGACAATTTTTACATAAAACATTACGGCCATGTAAAACAAATAGAGCTAAGCTTTCCACCGGAACCCAAAATTACGAAAAGTTGGAGCCCAACTTCAGAAAAATCATGGAGCCCAAAATTCCGGAGCCTAGATCTCAGGACACCAAAGATTTAAAATTTAGAATTCCTTATGAATTGGCTGTGTGTGTTTGATTTTTTTCGTATTTTTTGAAAAATGCCGTGGATTTTATTTTAATATTCGCCAATTAGCATCGCCAATTTATGATGTTGGTCTATTTAATGTTTGTTATTTCAATTAAAAAATTATATAAATTGTAGCTAGATATGGGTATCTGTGGATGGAAAAAAATACTTAGTTTGTTCATTTATTTTTGCATGTCGGCATTATATGCTGGCAAATTTACGAAATGCTAAATCACTGCAAATTCATATACTGTTATTTTAATAGAATGGCTCTCCAAGTGAGTGGCTTTGTAATACAAATCAGTCAAATCACATCTATTGGTTTTATTCATTACCTAGTTTAATATTCCCATTTAATAGTAATTATCTAATATGTATTTTTGAGTAAGATTTTCCAGTAATCGGGTCGCTTTGTCCAAATTTGTGTTCAACTTTTAGTTATTCCTAACCCCTGACCCGAATTCGACTAAGCGAATTTGGGGTAAAAAATTGAAATTAAAAATTTAGTGCTAAGCTGACACGCCTATTCGATCTGAGTCGAATGGTGTCAAAATTATGTTTTAACAACTTTAGACGAAGTTATGCCATCTTAAGTGTATAAGAAAGTATTTATACAGTATTATATTTTTTAATTAAAAGTTTTTATTTTTTACTCAACATTATATAGCAATATTCATGCTTTTTGGAAGAATATACTATATTTTTAGATGTCAGCGAGCTGCTGACAGATTTAACATACCTATTTAATCTGTTGGATCGGTTGGTGTTGGTTCGGTTTGCTAATTACCAGTCGATCAGTACCAAAATAAGATCAGTACCAAAAATATAGAATTTAATTAAAAATTTAAATGCGTGGATTTATAAATAAATATAATTTTTCTAGCGTTTAAAAACTGTTTGCTCATATTGTAAAAATTAAAGAAAGGTTTTTTACTATACAAAATTTTAAAAAAGTTTCCTTTCTTGTAGTCAATTTATATACCATCCGAAAGAGCACATCGAACTGAGTCGAGAAGAATAAAATTTACAAAAGTTGACTTAAATTAAAAAAGTTATGTCCATTTATGTAACCCTTTACGTATGGCCCAATATACTGTTGCGGAGGAGGCCGGACATATCGAAAAATTTACAAAAGTTGACCTAAAGGAACAAAGTTATTTCCATCCATTTATTTCCATTTATGTAAAGTTATGTCCATTTAAGACCGGACATATATGTAGAAGTGAACTACGACCGCAGCTTCGTTAGTAGCGAAGCCTGGCCTATTCTATTTTTAATCAAACTCGATGAGCTCTTTCAAACTATTTTTAATTTGCTGATAAAAAATTTTTTTTTTGAAATTTCCAGTAGATACAAATCCAGCAAGTATCAAATTCTATTCAATTTATCTATTCAATATACCTACTTATTTTAAAAACCACTATTTTTATCAAAATGGCATTTAATTTTTATATTTTATTCATCATTTTAAATATTCACAACAATTTTGTTTTAAACAAAATATCTAATTTTAATGAAAATCCAGAATGCAAACAAAATAATGGAAGTGGAGTTGGGTTGGTTTTTGCAGTTTCCGCCTTTTTTTTGGCTCCCTTCCCAATTTTTCATCTAAAGTCTCAGATTTTTCAAATTAATCTGAGACCAGTGTTCACAAGCTCGTACCAAAATTCGTACTCGTATGGTACGGAGTACCATCAAAAAATAGGGGTACTAAATACGAGTACGAGTACGAACAAATCTGAAATTAATGAACACTGTCTGAGACGCAAGGGGGGATAAGGGGGGGGGGGGTTGAAAAATTATGGTAATAGTCGGTACATTAAACGATTTCTTTCATAGAGCTAAAGAGATAAATAACAAAAATGACATGGGTCAAAAATATTCCAACAGTTATTGCTTTGCGCCTCTATGGTCGCGCGCCCTTTTGGGTGTCCTATATTTGAGGGAAGAAAATGATTGGCATTAAAAAAAGAAGGAAAATAAATGACTGACAGCAAGGAATGAAAATTAATCTGAGACTCAAATAGGGGTGGGGGGCGGGATATTAATAAAGTACCTGATAGTCTAGTCCAGATCCCATTTTTCCTGATTTCATTTGCGGCATCTTTACCGAGATTAAATAAATAACGTGCTTGGCAGGGCTCGGTGCTGGTACCGGTATGGTACTGATAAGAACGATATGTTTCAGTACCTACCGTTACCAACTCGCAAAATTTTTTATTTAATTTTGAAGGAAACAATACGTATCTTATGGTGCTCTAAGTCGTGATGTACAAAATCATAAAGCCCAACCACTACAAGTCAACAAATATACAAGAGGTTGTGAGAAACTAGCTGATTGTCGCAAGTATATTTAGTAGTTAAAAACGAAAACAATAAAATAAAAAAATTTTTTGAAGTTCAATGATTGAAAGCCGGTCAACACGCATACCAAAATATTAAATAAATTACACAAAATATTTGGATGAATTGAGTATAAAATTAAAAATAAATTTTATTATTTTTATCTGATGTAAAGCATATCTATTTAATTCCAAAGTATGCAGGAGGCGGCTTCAGTAATAGATACCGAAAAAATCTATTTGCCTGACAGGCCCGTAGCCAGGGGCGGGGGGGGGGGGAATCCGGAATTTTTCGGAATTTTTCCGACCAACAATTTTTCCGATCTTTTTTAGAATTTTACCTCGGAATACTTAAAATAGAATGGGATTATATTTAAAAAATGCAAGTTATCTTAATAAATTTTAAAAAATTTTCTTGCCCGGAAAGTCTTATTACTACAACAGAGTGGAGCATCATCTTTTAAAATCCTCTCATACACTTATTATGTACCTACCTATATAATATTGATATACGATGTTTCCAAGATCTAACTCAGAATTTGTTAAAGCAATGCTCCAACATACAAAAATAATGAATGGATTTTTCAAGCTGAACAATCGTCGCTCAAAACTTTGAGTATATATGTACTTAATTAAAATTGAAATAAAATATATTAAGCAAAATTCAGTCTCAATCATTTGAAATCGAAATAAAGTAATGAAAATATTAATTAATTATTTAGCTAGATTTTCTGGCACAACTGCATAGACAAAACGTAAGAATTTATTCTAACAATGTTAATGACGATAACTTTACGAATAAAGATGAATTTGTTGAGATAACGTGGATTAATAGGAGATCACTGAACTTAGTTGATTTGGGTATCGGTTAGTTTTTGGGGAGATGTTTTTAAATTAAGAGGATTTGAAAGAAACTAATTAATTCTCCGATATCCCCTCTTCCCGAAAAACCTCTTTACGCCTATCCCTTAAATCAATTCCGGTCTCTTGTTGAGAATATTTTTATTAAAAAAATTTTTTTTAATTTTTTTTCAGGCAATTCACGCAACATGTAATATTTTATCACAAAATTTTGCGCAATATGGCAAAAAAATTTTAACAAAAAAATACTGTAAATACACTAATTGAAGCTCATCCCATATAATAGATCTGAAGCCTTTTCAATAAGGCTGTCGGATAGTTGCAAATCTTCGGATTCGGATCCGAACCGAAAATTTCCGGATATCCGGCCATTTTCGGATCCGGATATCCGGATCCGACAACCTTACCTCTCGATAAAACCTATTGAAAAATATAGTCTAGGCTTCTATTAGTATATCTACGGTAAAAAACATTTATTGAGTAGATGTTGTTCTATTAATATCAACAAAATTAGTTAATAGACTGGGATCTTTCTCAATTTCACAAATTTCATTCGACTCCTTCCCTTCATTTTCTTTCAAACAATTTTTAATATAAAAATTTAATAAATGGGCATAATTACTATTCCAATCCCTTTCAAATAAATTCTTCATTTGTTTAAATATTTGAGGAGTTTTTCTTCTTTTTTCTATTTGTTTCAAAACTATGGCTACTCCAGTGCCTAAATCTTCAAAATAATCTCCGGACCAATTCGAAGTCCCAATAATTAAAGTGTCGTCGGTCATTAAAAACTTTTTGTGGGTTCTTCTGTCTCTTTGAAGGACTGGCTGGTAGGCAAATGAGTCTGCTGGGACTTTGAATATTTTCTGAAAGAAAAAGTATTTTTTTGAGTTAGTCGGCCAGGGAAGGATATTTGTGGAAATAAAAAGAGAATTATTGCTAAACGTTTAAAAATTTATAAAAAAATCTGCTAAATATCAATTATTTTAAGTAATTTTTATTAATTTAATTCGTAAGCGTTTCGAACACCATTGGGTTTAAATGAGGTGCTGTGTAATATTTTTGAATATCAATGCATGCATTGATAAATTAATGGTTGAACTGACTTAGTATGTCGATTCTGATTTTAACAGAAAAATTAGCTTTCGTTTCCTTTAATGGTGGCTAAAGGTGTAAGGAAATGGAAGCAAAAATCTGTGTCAACTTGACAATTTTAAACCGAAATTTTGATATTTTCGCCAAAAATTGACTGATTTATGTAAATTTTGAAACCGTGACTTTATGAGAATGAGTGATCTAATAAAATTCTTTTAAAATAAAACTGTCATTTTCAACAAAAGTTGGTTGTATTAATTATTATACCATGGCACTGGTTTTTTACAATTTTAACATACAAAAAATTAACTTACAACAGTAACAGAACCAGCACCACTTCCCTGTCTTTCACCCAAAACTTCCAAAGATTTTAAAAATCCCAATCCTTTACTAGGAAAATGCAAAGCTGTTGAGATTATTTTAATTTTGACGCCTCTAAGAATAGCTTCTCTTATAGCGTTATCTATTGGCGGCCAATACTTTCCTTTTTGTGTATATAAAAACATTGGGAAGTAATCCATGACGTGAATTAATATAAAAGTTTTGGCATTTTTTATAGCTTCGACAATATCGTTCAAATCCCAACTTCGCCTCGGACTGTTTAATGAACGTGGAGATGCCTTTAAATGAAAGACAAAACTGATATAGGATTCACGATTAGTTTGCCTCTGCTGTACCCTACTGGTATACCCACTAGACTGAGGAAAATCGCAGATTTTCATGATTTTTTCAAAAGGGCAAACGGGCGGAATCGTATAATCAGGTATTCGGGACGGAATCTCGTAAAATCCTGTACAAGATTTAGTCCAGTGGCGCATAATAATTTACAGACCTATAAGCACACCAGTCTCATATTATGTTCCTATCTCGTCACATTACAGAAACTCATTCAATTTCTGGAACAGGCTTTGTGGGGGTAGATCTAAAATTTTCTAAATTCTGTCTTCCCCAATTCAGCAGTAAAGGGATATTGTAATATGAGAGAATTCCTGAGTCTGCTCACTCTACTCACAAAACTAAGCGACAATAATGATTCAAAACTTACAGATAAATGAACATCCAATTTATTATTTTCCCCATCAAAAATAGCCAAAGGCTTTTGAGAATTGTAAAATGCTAAGGGCATTTGTTGTATCATTTTTTGGACATCTTTAAATAATTTCCATAAAATATTTTTTTTCAATTCAACTACCTTTAGCACATTTCTTTTCCGATGCTTGCCAATAAATTTCAAAAATTCTGGTCAAGTCTCGGCTTAGACAGGGACAATCCAGAACAAGCACCCCCATTTCCATTTTCTATAGGTGAAATTTAATAATTATTACGATATTTTTTATAAAAATTTTTAGCATTGAAATTTGGCAGTTTTTTTCTAAGGATATCAGGGTAATATAACGATATAAGGACTTAGATGGATATCTACAATATATCTCCTCAAATTCCAACTTCATGGATATTCTCTCTATAATCCCTCCACCCCTTTACTAATAAAAAATTTACGGGGAAATTTTTAAGAAGCAACAGAATTTTTGGCATCTTAGGCGCCTAAAATTCCGATTCCAAAAATTTTGAGAATTTTAGAGAACAAGAAGCCAGATTTCTTCCATTTTCTTACTTAGCAGGCAAGAATTCTGGGTTTTTAAAGCTCAAAAAATAATATTAAAGGTTTAAAATTCCCCGACTTACGGAGACGGGGTACCCACAAAGTAACAAATACCTAATTGGATTTTCTGGAATAATTTTGTTTATGTAAGCGTTCATTTGTGTAATCTCTCATAAATTAATTACTTGTGTCAGAGAACGCCAATCCAAATTAGCAGATCCCAAATAAAAATGTTTATTATCGGCAACAATAACTTTTGAATGCATTACTCCAGTATTAAATATTTTTTGTAAATCAAGTACCCTTCTATTCAAAACACCTCTTTTGGCCAAAGAAGTTCCGTCTTCATTATCTCCCTTAAAAATTTTTTTTTGAAATTTTTGGACTTAAAAATTTCCCTTAACCTTATCCTTAGCCACAGCATTCTCAACCATTTTTATTTGTATTCCTCTATCGAGTCCAGCACCAATAAGTGCATCAAACATTTTTTCGCCCTTTAATTAAAAATGAATAAATTTGAGATTTGAAAAGAAAATAAGGAAGCTCGTTGGGGGAGATATACATATAAATAGACCCTCACAAATATGTATCAAATTTACAAAGTGGATAGGAACTGTGTAAGTCAAAACTGACTTTGGAAATCAAAGTTCTCGACTATTGAAATATCCATCTCGATTCTATATTAATCTCCCAGTCCCGTCTCTAATTAAGATTCACAGCAGGGATTAGGATACACAGTAGGACAGAAAACCAAATTCGCGATTTTCGAGAATCGTGAATTTGGCGCGATCCCTGATACACAATAAATTTCCCTACAATTTTTTCATGCAATGTTCTTATTGAGAGATACGTTAAATTATGATTTTCGTCCTTTAATCTATCGATTTTTGCTACAGAAAATTTTTTAACTTTCTATAATCTTTTATTATCCTCCCAGCTTTATTTTAACCTTAATATCATTTTGAGTTCTCTCTCTAAACAAAAATCCCATCTGCATGAATGTCCCTTTCCAAGAGAGAGAGAGAATACAGTAACCTTAAAATGTATTTTTCCTCTCACAATACCTGAAAAGAAATATTGTTCAAAGCCTGCTCGCCAAGAACGTGTTTTCCTTTAAATAATTATTTTTAAATTAAAATTTTATTTCAAAAAACCTCTCAAGCTAGATTTATATGCAGCAATTAAAAGTGAATTTTTAGCTGAATTAATAAGTAAATTCCAAGCAGAGAATGTAGACAATGCTGGTTGTTGAGAAAATTCAACAGGAAATGTGAGGTTTTGGGCAATACTTTCGACTAGTTGAATTCTTTAAAATTTAAATTAAGAAAGAATTTCTTTATGAATTTACCTTAGATGGACATAATTAAATAAATTATGGGGGTTTGCCTGATTATTGTAAAGAAGGGAGATTTGAATGGCTAGGATTTAATACAGGGCTCCGATTCGTACTTTTTTAAAAGTATTGTACTTTTTTATCGACCTTCGTACTTCCGAAATTGAATTTGTACTTTTTTGAAAGTATGTACTTTTTTATCAACATTTTTGAAAAAACGAAGAAATCTGGCTTAAGGACCTCCAAAATTCTCAAAATTTTCGCCTGCGGCGCAAAAAATGGAAGAAATCTGGCTTAAGGACCTCCAAAATTCTCAAAATTTTCGCCTGCGGCGCAAAAAATGGAAGAAATCTGGCTTAAGGACCTCCAAAATTCTCAAAATTTTCGCCTGCGGCGCAAAAAATGGAAGAAATCTGGCTTAAGGACCTCCAAAATTCTCAAAATTTTCGCCTGCGGCGCTGAAAAAGAAATCTGGCTTCTTAGGCTCCAAATTTCAAAAAATTTTCGCCTGCGGCGCTTCTCAATGGCAAACATTCAATGGACGAAAGAAAGAAACTCGCTTGAGGTTAAGACTGTCAGAGCTTTGCTTCATGTGCTCAGTTGAAACAAGAAATTATTAGAAAAGATTAATTTAGGAGAGAAATATAAAAGATTTGATCACGAATAAATATTTTCAAATTTAATTTTGAGTGTACTTTTTATTTGCAAATTTTCTCCCTATGTACTTTTTTTACAAGATTTTGATACTTTTGAGTGGCATTTTGTCGATCGGAGCCCTGATTTAATATGATTACTGGGAGGCGAAAAAATCGCCTGTAACAAAACTAGTCGCTTTTTTAGAACTTGTTTAGAACTTTTATCTCCCTCTTAAATTTACAATGTTCCTTTACAATGTTCCTAAAATAAATGCACTTTCTAATTTAAGCAAATTAATTAATTTAAACAATTTTACTTAATATAATTTTTTCGAATTTATTTTATTAAAAAATTTTGAGATTTACAATCTTATAATCTGGTATTTTTTCGGCGACATACTAATATTTTTGTATACCATTGCATAGCATTGGTAAATTTATTTAAGAGATAGGTTCTTAATTGAGTGGATTAAGATTGTGTCATGTACATATTTGTCCTCAAAAACTAAAAAGCTATGTACTTAAATATTTTACATACCTACAAGTTCGAGAACATTCCAATTCATCCTGTTGAACAGGCATAGAAGCAACAGGCTCCAACCGATTTCTAAATCTTGTAGAAAAAGGTAATTGCCATAATAAAATTGTGGCAATACCAAAAAGTGTTCCACAAACAATTATTTGGGCAAAAAGAAGGAAAGAAGAACTGTCAGTAACAGACACTTCTCTCCTTACAGAATTTGTTTGATTCTGAATTGAATTTCTTCTGAATTGGTGTTGGAATGAAAAACTGGTAGAGACTTGGTTGTTTTTTGACTCTGACAAGTTTTCTGAATTTTGGTGTTTTTGTTCGTTGCTTTCTTCCTTCTCCATTATTTTTAAATAGAATTTTGAAAAAATATTTTTTATTTAATTTCTAAAATTAGATATATCTTAATTATGAAACTTCATTAATTCATAATAAAGACCCTCTTCACCAGAGCTTATAAATTTCAATTTTGCTTGTACTCGTAAATACTTCGTACCACTCCTAATTTTGGCCTCGTACCACCCCTACTACCAAAGTACGAATTTTGGTAGGAGCGTATAAGTTCTGCTCTTCACTAGTTATTCTGCTTATCTACTTGAGATTTGAAACTATCCAAACTTTAAGCGTAACACTCCGTCTAATTAAGCTATCCCTTTAGAAAGAGTGTCTCAAACCGTGGTACTCTCATTTTAAATCTTGTTATGTTTGTCCGTCTTTGTTTAAAATTGACGGATACTTTATCTACCCCTAATGGTCTCTAGTATCGAGATTTGATTGTATGTATCTCTGTTATTCTCCCCTGTAATACTACTTATTTACTTGAGACATATTAACAAATTTAATAAAAATTCAGCTCTTGTATAGAAATGTTAAGATAAAAATTAATGAAATTAATATTTCTCGGACCATATTTTATACACAAAAATCTAGTTAAATGATCTTTAAACGTGATAATTATCTTATGCCCCTCTCATTTCAAAATTGTTCTTTTTTGTAAATTTTTGGCTCAATTAACGTCAATTATCAAATGTTTAAGACAATTTTAGGAAAATATAAAACATTTACTTATCACTCCATTGACGTCAATGGAAGAACGGTGAAAGAAAAAGGGTCCGAAATTCGTGGCACATTTATAAAAGGTACACTATTGTTGTCTATTTTTGAAAAGATAATTTTATTTACTTAAAAAATAAAGATAAAAAAATTTATTGGGTTAATAAGGCGCGAAGACATTACGGCGTGAGCATTTAAAAATTTAACATAAACTTAATATTTTTAAATTTTTTCCTTATAGTTCTATTAATATTAGGCCTCTTTTCTATAAATTTTAGAATTTTTTGATTATTATTTCAAAAGTTATGGACAAAAAAGGACTACTAATGTACACGATTTTCCGATTTTGGGTACTGAAATACAAAACATATAAAATTCCATGGACCCGCGATTTATTTTAAAAAGCCTACAATTTACAAATTTAGGTGACCGCATCATAAAAAATCAGTAAAAATCGTTACTACTTTAATCAAAAATCTTTTAAAATTTTTGAAAAGATCAAAATTGTTCAAACGAGTTTTTAAAATGAGTTAGGCACTTTAACTAATACAAAAATGATTCAGAACGACAATTTGCCAGCTGAATTCACTGGCATTCAAAAATATGAACGTGACTTTGTCAATAAATACAAACGGCACAGCTATGATCGAAAATAAACATTTACTTTAATATAATTTAAATAAATTATATTAAGTACATTTTACAATAAAAGTTCATCTAATATTGTCGGTTTTAAGAAATACTCTAATAATACTTTGATTAAAATCCTTTAAAATTTTTGAAATGATTGAAAGAGTTAAAAAAATTAAACAAAAATTTGCGCATAAAACCTTGTGTCCAAATAAATTTAAAAATAAATATATTTTTAAAAAAGTAAACAGATGTTATCATTAAAAAGAAAGGAAGAAGAGTTGTTGTTTATTTTTGATAAACTCAACAACAACAAAAAATTTTTGTTGTTAAAAAATCTTTAAAAAATTGGAAAAGTACACAAAGAATGATTAAAAGATTATTAATAAATTTATAAAATAAGATGATTGAAAAGTAATTATGAGTAGCAAATAATAATTATGAATTGACGTCAAAAAATTATTTAGTAAAAATAATTTGATAAGACGTTTTTTAGAAGAACTATTTTTAAAATTTAAGTTAGAATAATTATCTATAATTTAAAAAATTTGAATCGAATTTGTTAAGAGAGGCTTGTATATTTTTTTAAAATCATTTTTGGCATTATGAAATTGTTCATGATGAGGTTAAAAATTGACCTTTTTTAATTGCCCGAGGCTATTTATTGACAAATAGGAGGAACCAAAATATTTCTTCCTCATAAGCATGTTGGTCATCTACAGGTCATTCTACTTCCCCAGACAAATTTCAAGCTAAACTTAATTTATGGTTTATATGGGAGTATATTTTACTATTTAAAATCCATTCTACATATACCTTTAATCAAATATTTAAAACAAAAAAAATAAATAGGTAAAATTTCAATAAATTTAACATTTTTACTAAAAAATTTAAAAAGAAATGATGGAAAATACAAAAAGTCACAACAAAAACAAAAATAAATTGCTTCTACCTCTTGAATTACTTTTTGATATAATTAAGGCAGCTAATAAAAGGCAAACGAATAGATACGGAAAATATCTTTGATAATTAGAGAAATGAATGGATATTCTGGGTTATTATTTAGTAGAGATTCGGGATCGGTAACTCAAATAATTCCATATTTCATTCCTGGCCTTGTTGGGTTCTGAAACGTACAAAAAACAAGATATATTTTAGCGTTCTGTCCATATTTTCCATATTTAGTTCATATTTACCAATTTTTTTTACAATCTGATTAACATTTCTTCGAAATTTTTCCATATTTTGGCGTTTTTTTCATATTTTTCATATTTCAGTCACTTTTCGAGTAAGGATGGTGGTTCCTAGGAAATCTCCGGATATCCGGAACGGATATCCGAAACGAAAATTTCCGGATATCCGTGGTTTTTTTGGTTCCGGATACCAGGAACTGCAAACCTTAATTTCGAGATCATTAGTCCATTATTATATATACATATTTCCGATTGCTATTCCAAATAAATCCTAACCAGCTCATTACCGAGCTTTTTCGTTATCTTGTTATAGTTCGATATCTAGATATAGGTAACTCGCATACGTTCCTGCAGTGAGAGAGATACTCATCCCAAACGACATTCAAGATTATGCACGATATGTACTTCAGTTCATCGAACCCGAACTGAAATTTTCAGTTAACCGAAACGAGTTCGGAACGGTTAACTCTCTGTCAAAACCCCTCATTTGTTAAACGCCAGTCTAAAATTTTGAGAACTTCGGAAAGCCAACATCGGGAAGCCAAGTCTTCAGCAACCGAAACCGAATTATTAACTTTCGATTTTTCATCTTAAGGTTTGACGAAAAATCAAGATTCAACTTCTATAGGTCAAGGTAAAAGCTCTGCGGTATACTGACTATGACAGAAAAGGATATACATACTTATTAAAAGGAAGTAATGACCGAGTTCCCGTATCTATTCTAATGTCTGTCAATACCAGACATGATTCAAAAAATATTATTTATACTGAAAATACAGCAATGATATTAGAATTGAAAGAATATTTTATAAAATTAATGTCTTGTTCTACAATATTATATGCTTATTTTGGAGAAAATTTAATAAAACTTTTTAGAAAATTAAAGGTAAATTTAATTAAGGGAAGATATTGAATTGTCAGAAAGTCTCTGATAAAAATAAAAATAATTTTAGGTTACTTTCGGTTATGTAGCCACAATGTCCGCAAGTTTTTTCTGCAATTTATAAAAGATTGTTTTGTGGAGTATTTTTGGAATATAAATTTTTGTAAATTTCTTTTCTGAAATTCAAGATAAAATAATTTACAAATTCTAAAATAAATTCCAAGGAAGTCCAACAACAAAATCACAGCTATTGCTGTGATTGTTCACATAAAGAGTAAAGTAATCGGTACTTTCCAACTTTACAGACCCACTTTTTCCTGTCTCCAATTTCAGCTGCCTGAGCACTTCTTCTAGCTGAAATGCCAAAATACTTTATAAAGACTTAATAAAAAATAATTATTTTTGATTGATTTTAGGGCCAAATACAAAAGGTAATTGGTATGGAAAAAAGGATATATGGAAATAAATAGGAAGGAAAATGGGGTCTGTAAAGTTCAATATTTCCAAATAATCACTAAAATCCAATTTAATGTTGTGGTGTTAAAATCTGCTAAGATGAACGAGAGGAGCGCTGAAAGATATGTTTAGAGTTCGAACTTTTCAAAATGCCGGGCCCGGGACCCGGTTTTTTTTCTCAAAATCGCACCCGGACCGGTTTTTCCGGATAAAACCGGAAAAACCGGTTAGCCCGGAAAAACCGGATTTTTTCAGACCCGGGCCCGGACCCGGTTTTTTCAAAATTCAAAAAATGATCAAATTCTAGCTTTTCGTTGAAATTTTTCTTATTTTGAATAAGAAATTATTAAAATTTGGTGTCATCTTTCATCTATACGTGTTTATTTAAAGGATTTAGAGATATTAATGTGAATTTAACGGATTAAAGGAAATATTGGTGGATTTGGCAGGATCTGGAGAGATTAATATGGATTTAATTACATGGATTAGATATTCAGATATACCTCTAAATCCTCGATATCCCTCTATATTATTTAATCTGGGGAAGAGGGGGGACTTCTGGGGAGGACTTCTTAATCCCATTAATTTTTCTTCACTTTTTAAAATTTTTTAGAATTTTGTAAGGCCAAGGGGCCAAATTTCTTCATTTTTTACCGCCGGAGGCGAAAATTTTGAGAATTTTGGAAGGCCAAGGGGCAAGATTTCTTTTTTTCACCGCCGGAGGCGAAAATTTTGAAAAAATGGATTGCCAAACAGCAATATTTCTTACATTTCTTGACTTAGTCGAAAAGACTCCGGGCCCGGCAAAAAATTACCGGGCCCGGGACCCGGTTTTTTACTCAAAATCGCACCCGGGCCGGTTTTTCCGGATAAAACCGGAAAACCCGGTTAGCCCGGAAAAACCGGATTTTCTCAAAAATACCCGGTTCCGGGCCACCGGGCCCGGAAAAAACCGGTCCGGGCCCGGCCCGGGTTCGAACTCTAGATATGTTGCTGCTGTACATTTCAAGTAAATGCGTGAGGGACGTCGACGCGTGATCAATCGACACTTACTTTTGAAAAAATTATAGAAATTCTTATTTAGGTATGTAGCCTCGTGAATATTCTATGAGTTCATGCCCCCAAAATAATTTTTTCTCTATTAAAATAATCTTTTTGAGAAAATAAATATAAAAACTATGCAGAAAAACTTGAGGGCATTGTTACAACATATTCAAAAAGACTGCAGTTAACATTTTAAGTAAGAGAAGATGAAAGAGTACACATCCTTTTTAAATGAGAGACGCTCATTACATTTTCAAAAATGTGAAATAATTTGAATACGGCAAAATATAGGTTATCTATAGGCAAAAAAATGAAATTTTCAAACACCCAACCAATTCTTTCATTTTTTCTTCTTCACTTTATTTCAATCCAATCATTAAACATATTTTTATTTAAATTACTAAATATTTAAATTATTTTTTGTGATTATAATTTAAATTCATGTAAGAGTATCTAAGTAGATTATAATGTAGTGAACATAATGTTAGGTCCGTTGGAGGCATTATGTAATAGGGTTCGACCCCTAAACAAAATAAACGTCTTTATTTACCATACATCCACTAAGCACACAGAGAGTACCCTCGATTTATTGGATTTAATGCTGATAGTTTTTTCAGAATTATTAAATAATTTTTTAATTATTCGAGATGAAGTTATGTTTCATTTGTAAACAACATATAAACGAAAATGACCGAACAGTTCAAATCAATGCCTGTCTTCACCTGTTCCATAGAGACTGTTTAAACATTAAGAATGACAATTGCCCTGTTGACGGGTGTACAACGATTATTCAAGGAAATGCTCTGTTTTTTAGTTGGGGAAATTCTTCTGATAAGGGGTCTTTACAAGCTGTAGAAGCTGTTCCAATTACTCAGGTATTGAATTAAAATGTTTTATAAAAAATTTTTGAAAAATTTTGGAAATTATTTATTTGAAGCCACCTGGAGATTTTTCGATTTAATTTCATTTTTTATGGCATCTGACTTTATACTAATTTTATCTTTAGCAAAATTTTTCAATTTTACGGAATTTTATGCAAAATTTTTGTAATTCTACGGCGATCCTGCTGTAATTTTTTCTTACTTCAAATTTATCTAATAAAGCTTTAAAAAGCAATAGTAAATATTTTTTTAAATGTTTAATTTTATAATAGCCACACGATCCGAATCTGCCAATGACTCAAATTGTTCAAAGTCTCGTTTCCCCCAACCCGTACTCATGGTGATTAATAAAATTTTTAATAAAATTTTGTTTATTTTTTAGTTCGTTTTCGGGGTTTGGTGAAAGCGGTTCTCCATCGACCGATAAACCTTCATCCGTTATTCCGACACAAAAAGCTCCGCTTAATCCACCTTTTCTTCCTGCACAACCGGCTATTCCACCACAACAACCTCAGTTTATTCCAATTTCCTATACTTCACGACAGACACTACCCATTCTACCTACTTATCAGTCCATTCAACTTCCTGAACAACAATTTTATCCAGCACAACAGCCGCAAGTAATATTTTTGAATGTTAGGGAAGCATTAAAAAATTAAGAAAAAATAATAAAATTAACAATTATAACCCTTTCAAAAATTTCTGAATAATTTTATATAATTCAGTTTTCATGTACTGAAATAATTTTCGAATTAATTTTAAAAACCCAAAAACGACGTTAAACCAGACATAATTTTTCTTACCTCAAAAAATAAAAGAAAAGTAAAAACCCTTTATGGCACTATTTCAATTGTTCGGGTAAACATTTCTAGTGCCAATTTCTTGACCATATTCCAAAACAGAATCTTTACAAATCAGAAAAATTGTTTCAGAATTTTTTTTAAAGTTTAAAAAGTATTTTTCTAGCAGACTTATCCAGAGACAATGCCTACACAGCAAGCACCACTTAATACACATTTTAATCCCCAGCAACAATCTCAGCCTAATCCTGCTCCTTATACCACACAACATCCACCGACAAATCAATCTTATCATCCTCAACAGCCTCAAGTAATACTACTAATATTTTTGAGTTTTCTGGAATTTTTTTTGTAAAAGAAAAAATAGAGAAATATTAACTAGTTCCCCCATTTACTTTTTTTATTTCTCATGTATTATAAATTAATTTTCAACTGAATTTTTAGATTATAACCCTTCCAAAAATTTCTGAATTTCAGTTTTCATGTACTGAAATAATTTTCGAATTAATTTTAATAACCAGAAAACGACGTTAAACCAGACATAATTTTTCTTACCTCAAAAAATAAAAGAAAAGTAAAAACCCTTTATGGTTTTCTTTTGATTGTTTGGGTTCTTTAATGTAAAATAAACATTTCTAGTCCAATTCTTGACTATTTTAAGACAGAATTTTATCAAATCCGAAAAATTGTCAGAATTTTTTATTAAAGTTTAAAAAGTATTATTTTTCTAGCAGACTTGGTATAATCCAGACACAATGGCACCATATATGTGTGCAGCATGGCCGCCATATCATAGGTTTTTATAAATTGAAATTCTAATAAAATTGTTGTATTTTTTATAGTCCTCAGAGTCTTGTACCGAAGGAAACGGATCTGTCTACGCCAGCTATTGGTAATCCAACACAACAATCACAGTCTAGACAATGTTATCCCTCGCAACTGCCTCAGACCTTTCCAACACAGGAAACATATCCACCTGTTTGTCCAACACATCCCCAAGTAATAATATTTTGAAGAGTGGGGTTTTTGGAAAAGAAATTAAAAATTTTTCTTTTTGTAAAAAGTCAAATGTGGGGCATTATTAACAATAACTGTCAAAAACTTTTTGCTTATAAAAAAGAAAAAAAGGAAAATTTGAATACAAATTATTACTTATTTTTAAGTTATATATTTAGAGTACTCTTCCTGTTTGGACAACATCGAATACTCCTGGACCATCTCACACATCAACACTTCCGAGTTTTTGTCCACCCACTTCGCAGCCAAAGAATTTTTCTGTTAGCCAGACATCTACAGGACCTATTCGTGCAGCAATGCCTCCAGCTTCCGTTATTCCTCTTCAAAATATTCCTCTTCCACCCAATCCTCCATCAACTTCACAGGCTATTGATTTTGGTCAGACCGAGAATGGTAATTAAAAATTACATAAAATAAAATTGTTATTATCAATTTATCAAAACTTTCATTTTAATAAGAATTTTCCTCCCCTACAGCGTTAAGAATTTTAAAAAAGTTATGTTTACGTCGATGAGATGCTATTTTAAAAATTATTCAACTGGTTATAAGGCAAATATATTTTATGTATATTATTTGATACAAGGGTTATTCCCTCTCTTATTAAATCGTGGGATTTGAGGCTTTTATTTGTAAACCTGTTAAAACTCGCTCCCGAACGATCTCCAAAAATATTTCATCAAAATTTTTGAGGGTCAAATAAAGGAGGAATCTAAGAATCACTTATTCTGTTTTCCACAGTGGCCAATCAAAATGAAAAAAGTATTAAAAAGTGGGGGTCAACCCTTAAGACCTACACCCCCAAGACCTACACCCTGAAGACCTACACCCTGAAGACCTACACCCTGAAGACCTACTGACCCTGGAGACCTACACCCTGAAGACCTACAACTTTTTGATTAACTCAAATTATTTATTTTTTTATTTACAAGTTTAATTGGAGATCCTCTTCATCCCGATAAATCCCTCTATCTATTTTAATACTCAAAATCCTCGCTATCCCCCTTAATCCCTCTTTATTCCCTTTAAAACCTTCAAATCCATCGATATCCCTCTTAATCCCTCCTAGTTCCCCTTTACCTCTAAATCCCCCGATTAGACTTGTAAAGAAGTAAAAAATTGTGTTGATCAAAAAGTTGTAGGTCTTCAGGGTAAATAGGTCTCAGGGTGTAGGTCTTCAGGGTGTAGGTCTTGGGGGTGTAGGTCTTCAGGGGTGGACTCAAAAAGAGTTATCTAAAATTAGGGTTATTCCAAAAATATTAATTTGCCCAAATCCAAATTTTAAAATTTGCAGTCCCTGCTGGAAACATTAAGCAAATATTATGCTCTAAATGTGGAGAATACATTTACGACACTTATTATAGAAAGCATTTTCCGAAATGTCAAGGAGGCCATGCAAGAAAGATGAGAAAATAAATATGATTTTTGACGCTACAAGTTATTTTTAAAATTCTACTTGCTTTTGTAAAATTGAGGATTTTAAAGATTTAATTTATAGATTTTAAAGAAAATAAATTTTTAAATTTTTTAAAAATACTTTCAACATTAGCACTTAATTTTAACATTTTTCTTTATCTTTCATGCCAAAAATTTTACGGTAGCCATTATTTACATTAGAACATTTATATCCTTTTTCGAAATTAATCTCGAGTTGAAGTGAATAAGTTAAAATTAGGTAATAAGTATATTGTTATAATTCAAATTAAAAATTTGTATTTTCGGTCATCTTCAAGTAATACCTTTTTTGATTTTTTTAAAATCAACTCTCAATCTATATACATATTTAAATAGGTATATCATATCTCCATTATATTAAATATTTTAATAAAAAATCAAGTCAAATTCATCGCCAATTGACTTAAAGAATTATTCCCTTCAATTAATCCATAAGAGATCGCTCGTTAAAATTATAAGAATCTTTAAGGTATAAGAATTATAAGAATATAATTTTAATAATAATTAAAAGAATCTTCATTATCCCTGCCATCTTTTTGAGGACAAAATTCTCTTTAATTCTCCCCATATGCCATTGTTAACCAATCAAACATTTTAAACTTACAGGGCAACTAGTCCAAATAAAACTTCGACCGTGAAAATATCTTAAAAGAAAAAATTGTTAATGGGGATATCGTAATTCGTTTTATTGCTGATATTTGCCAAATGGAAAATAAAATAATACAATTATGTACCAGGGCTGGAGAATTTTGGATTTTAAAAGGCGGAAGCGGCAGAAAGCGGAATAAAATAAAAAATCGGCAGACGGAAGGCGGAAGCGGAAGGGCCAAAAAAGACGGAATTCGGCGGAAGGCGGAAGCGAAAGAAAAATAAAAAAATTTATTCATAATCAAAATTAAAAATTTTCATATTATGATGTAAAAATAACAATTTTTCAACATTTTTAACCGTTAAACTTTTTCGTAGATTTAGGAGAAAGTTTTTTGGGAATAAGGAAGGATAAGAGGATATTAGGATCCATAGATATCAAATCCCATATCGACCTTACACCACTCAATTCCTCGATATCACACCCAAATCCCTCGGTTTTACCCATGACCGTTTGAAATCACATGATATAACTCAAAATCCATATTCATCCATACAAATCCTCCGATATATCATTCAACTCTCTTTAGGCGCCGCAAGCGAAAATTTTGAGAATTTTTGGAAAGCCATTGTGCTGGATTTCTTCCTTTTTCAGCGCCGCAGGCGAAAATTTTGAAAATTTAGAAAAGCAGTAAGCAAAAAATTCACTTTTTATTGGTCAAACGAGAAATTTTAAGAATTTTAGAGGGCCAAAAACCCATAATTCCTCCATGTAAAAATAGAGTAATTTTTAAAAAAAGTAAACTTATAAAATAAGTTAAGCCAGTCGCTCCAAATCACCCCCCTCAAAAAGCTAATTTTTTTGTTTACAACTCCGAAAATTCTTAAAATTTTTGCCTTCTGCGCTGAAAATGCAAGTTCCGATTTCCGGCGCCGATATAGAAGATTACTTTCATTTATAGAGAAGGAGCAGGCGAAAATTTTGGGAATTTTAGAAGGCCATTGTGCTAGATTCTTCCTTCTTCAGCGCACTCGGAAAAAATTTTAGAAGGTCAGGAAAAGTTTTTTTCTAAAATATGGCCGTCTTTAGGGGTGTATTTTTGGCGGAAGAGGCTAAAAACCGGAAGACGTAAGACGGAACGCCAAAAAAGACGGAATTCGGCGGAAGACGGAAGCAGAACCAGCCCTGATATGTACATATGAGAATTCAAAAAATTAAACCTTTTCCTTTTTATGTAAAGGTCTGCATATTCATTTAGGCAAAAAATGGCTTTTTTAAGATAAAAGATGACCTTTTTTCTTTAATTGGAAAGCAATTCAAATAAAGAATGTTAATATTTTAAACTTTCACTTAAAGCAAAATTGGGAGGAAAGTCGGTCACAAAGGGGAGGAATAAAATTATTATTAAGGCTGTGATTTATAGGCAAATGCCTATTTTTTCTGCAAGCTAGGGATGATGTAATACGTTCAAAAAACGTGTTTTTAGCTTGGTCCGAAGCGTCTAGCATGACTTTTAATATGCCTATTTCTGCCTATTTTTGACTTTTTGTGCCTTTCTGCCTATTTTGAAAATTTTGGTACTATTTTTGCCTTTTTTAGCGATTTTTTCGAAATTTTGCCTAAAAATCAGTGCAAAATCTAAAAAAATCAGTCCCAAATTAGAAAAAATCAGTGCCAAGTCCCATTATTAATTTTTAGTTCGTTAAATTGTTTATTTTTACTCTGTTGGACATTTTGAACTGGGACGATCTGGTTTTGGGACGTTTTGGGGTGCGGCGTTTTGTGTGTTGGGCGAGATTTCCATTTTGTCAATTATCGGGATTTTAAAAAAATTTACTTCATTTTTTTCAAAAAATGATTCAAAATGACGAATAAATGGTAAAATTGTTTAAAAAATAGTTTATAATTTATAAAATGACGATTAATTGGTTATTTTTTCTGTTTTTATCTACATTTTATGGTCTAATATCCTTTTTTACATGCCTATTTTTGTGCCTTTTTCGGCTTTTTTGTGCCTATTTTAGGCGCCTATTTTACTGATTTTACTTGCCTAACTATCACAGCCTTAATTATTATTTATACTTCCTAGTTTTGAATTGCTCATTCATTTAATCTTAAAAACTTTTCTGAATATTTAACTTTGTTCCTTACATTTCGATGTACCTTCGAATATATACAGTCAGCCAAATCACTTTTACATAAATAGATCATCTGTTTTTGAAAATATTTTAAAAAAGTCATATTTTTTAAAAATATTCAGATTTTTCGAAAAATTCCGATTTTAAAAATATTCCGTGTTTTGGTCATTCCGTGAGTTGGTAGTTCTTTGACTTGTTTGTTCCGTGATTTGGAAATTCTTTCTCGTAGGGAAACTTTTTTTATTTTTTAAAATGAAATTCTAATTTTCTCATTTCCTCTATTATTTTCCTTTGTTTTTTGGAAATTTTTCAATTAATTTTCTAAAATTTAAAAATGGTTAATTACAAATTTGGTCGTTGTACTGTTTGCCTGAAAAGTTTGCTTCATGAAAATGTTTATACTTTGAAGAATTGCAATCATACATTCCATCACGAATGTGCCGAGAAATGGATTTCTGAAGGGGTGAGAAAATTTCAAACCTCCATTTTTTAACATTTTTAGTCACAAGATTGTCCTCGTTGCCGAGTTTCTGCAAATATAACTGATATTAAACAACTTTTTGTGGAAGAAGCAGGTGATAGTTCTGACGATTCTAGTGACGAATTTACTGAAAGTTCAAACAGAATCTCTACACATACTCAGACTGTGGTAATCTTAATGATAAAATTGGAGGGTTATTCGCCAATTTTGTGTATTACGATTGCCCACTAGCAATTTTTACGGGCTCCCGGACAATCCGTCAGTGGACAATCCGGCAGTGGAAAATCCGTCAGTGGACAATCCGTCAGTGAACAAATTCGTAATTCCTACCCATTCCTAAAATGAATGATATTAGTGGACTTGAAAGATATTGGGCAATTTGGATCAATATGCGAATGTCGATGGATTTAGAAGGATATAGGGGATTTGGATTAGGGTTGCCGTTTTCGAGTCGGGCCGACGATCGAGTCATTTTTTTCGGGCTTCATTTTTATCGAGTCGGGTCAAACGAGTCTTTTTCGGGCCTAGTTTTTATCGAGTCGGGCATCGAGACTTTTTCGGGCCTTTTTTCAAAAAGATTTATTCAAAAAAAACAAAAATAATTTTGCGTATTTGTCATCAAAAATAAATCATATTAACATTATTTTTCATGCTGCCAAATAAGTTTTTGCTAATATTTGTAGATTTGGCCATTGAATTTACTTTTTGAGCCGCAGCCAAAAATTTTAAGAATTTTGGAAGACTTAGTCACCAAATTTCTTCCTTTTTCAGCGCCGCAGGCGAAAATTTTGGAAATTTCGGAAAGCCGTAAGCAAAAAAATTCACTTTTTATTGGTCAAACGAGAAATTTTAAGAATTTTAGAGGTCCAAAAACCCATAATTCCTCCATGTAAAAATATAGTCATTGATAAAATAAAAGTAAACTTATAAAATAAGTTATTTGTGTAAAGAAAAATATAAAAAATCCTTGTCCACTGACCATGCATCGAACTCACCTCTAAATCATTAACGTCGTGGGACAAGCCCGACACCTTAACCACTCGGCCACCCACTCATCTTGAGGTATTGAATTAAAATAAACATATTTCTTTCGATTTTCCTTTTATTACAAGTAAGAGTTATGAGAAGTTTATTAATATTTTTTAGGAAAATCACATCCTTAGGGGTAGGGTTGCCGTTTTCGAGTTGGGCCGACGATCGAGTCGTTTTTTTTGGGCTTCATTTTTATCGAGTCGGGTCAAACGAGTCTTTTTCGGGCCAAATATCCTAGGCCCGACTCGATCTTTCGGTCCGAGTCGGGCCATTTTGGCAACCCTAATTTGGATGGATTAGATTTACATGATTAACATGTGGGAGTATATTGGATTTGGATGAATATGATCGAACTGTGGGAAATCTATGAATAAGAGAGCTTGTTTTTAGATGGATATCGTGGAACAACCTAAATTCTCTTAATCTGTCTATATCCCTTGATATCCAACTTAATCCCCGAAATCCATCCTAATCTCCCAAATTCCTCGTTAACCGCCATAATACTACAAATCTCCTATATTCCCCTTAATCCTAGAATATCTTTGAAATTCCCGATATCTTTCAAGTCCACTAATATCATTTCAATCCAGCTAAATCTGCCAATTCCCTTATTAATTTCCAAATTTTCGATATCTCTTAAAATCCCCCACACGAAAAAATGAAAATTTTGGCCGCGGCATTTTAGGAATGGGTAGGAATTACGAATTTGTTCACTGACGGATTGTCCACTGACGGATTGTCCGGTCACGATTTTTACGATTGAGCACTAACAATTGTCCACTGTCCAATTGCCTGGGTGCTGACCTTCCGGTTTATTGCGAAAATCCAAAATTTTTTCATATAAAAATTTTTATATCCTTGTTCAAAAATCGTTTTTATTTTATGAATCAAAGAGCAATGAAACAATCGACACAGAAGTACAAGAACAGTTTTCTGCTACGCCACCAAAAAGATCTCACAGGATGGGTGGGCGTTCTACGAGTTCTAATCGAAAGGGAAACCAGCAGAAACCTCATTCAGATGATTTGGAACCTTCAGACAAAGTAACTATAACACGCCCCTCTGAAAATTCTGGAATGGATTTTTATACAACCTCGAATATTCATGAAAATACCCAAAAGTTTGGGAATTCTTGTAATAGGCCCAAATCCAAATTATGCCCTCCCTATCAAAATAGTTCTGGAAATAATCAAGTGGTGTCTATTAACTATTACGGAAGTACAAGAACTGAGTTTTTAAAAATTTTTTTTTTTTTATACTATGTCAACTCACACCTCTGAACAAAATATTTGTGAAAAAGAATTTGTTCCGAAACCAATTGGAATTCCATGCTTAAAAGGTCTTTATAATAACAAAATAATATTTAACTATTTATTCTAAATTAGGTTTTAAAAATCATGGAAATACTTGTTATTTTAATGCTTTAATGCAGAGCCTTGCAGGCTGTGACCGTTTTGCTGAGTTTTTAATTTGTAAAGATTTTGATGAGGATAATAGGGAGGTAAAACTGAATATTATAAACTGGATATTAAAATTATTATTTTACATTTAAGACTGGTATTTTCGACTCATTTCTCACTACGATTCGTTGTATGTGGTTCAATCACTATCATATTGATTATTGTTGTCATAAAACTATTCATTCTATTGCCCATGAAAATCCAGCATTTTGTGTTGGCTATCAACATGTTTTTGAATTTTTTAAAATTTATTTTTTAAATATATTTAATAGGATACCCATGAATGTATGATTTGGTTATTAAATAAAATTAATCGAGAAATTTTGGATTTTAATTTGGATGGTAATTTTGGTAAAGGTTCGAGCTTTGACTTGCATATTAAAATTATTAAAAATAATGGAGATGCAATATCTACACTTTTAAAATTATTTCGGTAAGTTTTAAAATTTTTTTGGTTTTCTATCGACCAAATCCTAAAACTCCAATAAACGAAAACTAATACTTGAACTCGATTTCCGCGAGACTCGGTAAATGCCACTGTTGTATTAAAAACAGAGGTGGGTCGGAACAGTCCGAGGTGTCGGAAATCGGAAAAGCCGGAATCGGAACTGACTCAAAAGTCGGACTCGGAAATCGGAAATCAAAACTTTTTCCGGAAATCGGAAGGAAGAAAAGTCGGAAATCTTAATTAAACATATTTTAAAATTAAAACAATTGTTTAGAGGCCAATTTCGTCATGAAATAAAATGTACTACTCCATACTGCAATTTTGTTGACACCTCAACTGAACCCTTTCTGTCAGTTTCACTCAGCGTTCCTTTGTAATTTTAAATTTAATTTTGCAAAAAATTTAATATTTTTAGACCACGTAAATATACTGTAAAATTTATTTGTATGAATCCACGTAAAATTATTCGTTTCCATTTTGATATTTCTGAATCTGGCATAACTGTAAAGGATATAATGGAAGAAATAGAAAAAATTATGGAAATCAAGCCAATAAATGTTTGTTTATTTCGTGTTAATTTGCCCAACCCTGGAATATATGTAGAGGATATACCCCGTCCCGATTTATGTTGTCAAGATTCTTAATCAAATCCGTGAAAATTAAATAAATTTATTATATTTAGATGGTTGCATGTAAAATCAAAACAGATGGACAATCATATTTAGTTCCGGATAATTTAGTTCTTGAAAACAATAGTCAATTAAATGATTTTACAATTCTTCAAATACCAGGAGAAATTAATAAACAACATGAACAAAAATTAGTTATTGCTGTAGTTAATTATGTTTTTGATGGAAAAATGTAAATATAAAAGAATTCTCCTCAAAATAATTGAAAATTTTTTTTAGTTTTGGAGAGCCTTATCTGTCTTTTTCGTTTAGAAATATTACTTATGATAAGTTAAGTCTTGAATTGATGAGAGATGGAGAATTTCTTCTTCCACAACCTTTTTACAAGATTAATTTCAATTTTAAACTTATTTTACTAAATTATGATGGGTCTGTCTATTACTCCTTTCAAAAATCCAATGAAATTGTTTATTGTCATCAAACTGATGAACATTTTGACCCTACAACGATACAACCTCTTTTGAATAGCTATGTGGACAGGTAAAATATTTCGGATATAGGTAGTATAGTGTAACGGCGGTAAAATTTCGGGACGTGGCATCTTTCGATTTGTTCGACGCGATGAGTCGAACGGTACAACATACTAATTAAGAAATGATTTAGGACCGAGTTATATGTCTCGAAAGTTGAAAAACCATAGAGGGGGAGTAATCTGGACAAAAGCCAAATTTTTTCAGTTTTTGGATATTATTAGTTTATTTATAATGTACATAGTATATTAGGATTTATTAAACATCTTTAAAATTTATAAATATTAATTTAATAAATTTTTAAGTATTTTTAATGATAAAGAAATTGCGAAAAAAGTTATTCATATAAATGTTGAATGGGATTTGTCTTTAAAAAAAGAATTTGAAAATAAATATAAGAAAGAACAAATAAATGAAAATTATAAGTTACAGAATAAGTTCAATAATAATTCAAAACAGAACCACGTTTCTTTAAGTACAATGCTTGATAATTTTGTTAAATCTGGTATGGTTTTAATTAAAAATAATATATATAAATTCCAATTTATTAATAGAAAATACACAATGCTGGAACTGCCCAAAATGTAAAAACATTTCTGGGTCAATGCAAATTAAATTTGATCATTTGCCTGACATTCTAGTGTTTTATCTTAAACGTCTTACTCAGGTAATTAAATTACCTATATATAGCTAAAAAATATATAGGATCTCAATGAAATATACAGTTAGGGTTGAGATGTTTGTACTTTATCAAGATGCATACCTACTTTAAATAGGGGGTAACGCTTAGGCCTAATGATCAATCAATTTAAAAACAATTACTTTATGTGTATCTATAGCTAATGGACTAGATGATCTGTCTATTTTAAACCCCCCCCCCCCCCCCCCCCAAATACAAGTTTTTAATCAAGTGCCATTTGTTATTTTAGACTGGAAGAGGAACAAAAAGGAATGATAAAATTGTTAATAATCCTGAAGAGCTTGATATGAGCTCTTATTGTATCAATGGAAATATATACGATTTGTCTTGTGTAATATATCATCATGGAATTCAATTTAGCTCCGGTATGTTTTTAATGTGACTTTTATCCAGCTAGGCAAAGATGGAAAAAGGGGAATCTACGGGGCAACTATGTCCTTAGGATATAACCAGTATTGGAAAATGAGTGATGGTCTTGATTGCCAGATTTTTCTCTTGGGTGACTGACCTAGCACGCCGCCCATATAAAATCTATTCCACTCTAATTACAGATTGTTGAGATTAATAATTTTCTTATTCCAAAAAACCAAACTTTTCAATGTTTCTGGCGTACCATAATTTTGACAATTCTACAATTCCCTTCATTAACCTAAAACCAAAAAGCACTTGAATTATTCTTAAAATTAATTTAAAGGTCATTACACAGCAGCTACTCGTAATATAATTGATGGAAAGTGGCGTTTATTTAATGACAATTTGGTTACAGAAAAATCTCAAAACGAAATTTGTGAATCGGATTGTACTTACATGCTCTTTTATCAACGTAGACGTTCTACTGATTGGTTCCACGAAGATGTTCCAAATAAAATTATTAAAAAATATCAAGGAATAACGGAAGGAGTTGATCGGGAAAACATCAGCCGACGTAATAATTATTCAAAAACGAATCGTAAAAATTCCCGTCTTTTTGAAATGAATATTTTTTAAATTAATAATTTAATTAATCCTTGAGCATTTTTAATCATTGAGAGAAAAGAAAGTAAAAGGAGAAAGGAATGGAAAGTTTGCTGAGAATATAAAGCTTTTAATTTCATGAAGTCCAGAGAAAAAAAGGATACGGTCTGAAAAAGGATGCGGAAAACATTTACGGACGTGGAGGACTGACTAAAATATAGCTAAAAATATTAAAATTTAATTTTCTAAACTTGTAAATAACGTTATACTATAAAACATTTTTCGTAAGTCGTCTGGTTGATTTTAGTCGAATCTACTTCCCTAAACATTCTTTGGAAAAATTTTCCCGTAAAATTTGATACCTGAATTCTTTAGTTGTGTGACAGTGGTTTTTGGAACGTTGTTAGAAGCCAAAACATTTTCAAAACTATAGTTTCTCTGTTATTAAATAAATGAAATCGGCAAACGTTTTTTATATTTTTTATATCTGTGGATTTTTTAAATATCAAATATTTGGTGAAAATTTCGGTATTAATCCCGAGGGAGTTTTTTAGAAAACTTTTAAAAATTATTCAACATGCGAGATTTCAAAATAATTATACGAAATCTACAAAACCCCGTTCGAGGCGCTTGGTTTGTTTAATACTAAGCTTTTATCTTCTTGGTTTTTACTTAGTAACTACTGAATTTTTGAAAATTTCAACGTAAACATTAAAAATAGTATATAGTAAATATTACAAGAGAGATGCTACAACCTTAAAAGAGTTACTACACTTTTAATTAATCTAAATATATAATTCAGTAATCTATTTCGCTTAATTTAATCCTTCAAAATGTAAATCAAATAAATTGTTAAATCCAAAAGCTGTATCAGATGCTCGAACGCCTAAATATTTAATTTAAAAAATAAAAAAATAAAATTGAAATATATATGTACGTTTAGATGACGATTTTATAGGTGCACATTTATTTTGGACCAAGCAATCGACAACCGAGCTTTAATTTTAATATTTTATTTTATTAAAGTATTATAAATTTGATATTTAAAGCATGTTCGAAAAATAATAGGGGTATTCCCTGGAGGGATATTTAGGGTACGGACTAGGGTACCCTTTTTTGTTTCCCTAGTACCTTACTTTATATGAAAATAATGGTCAGACTTTCTTCAATGTTCAATTTCGCTCTATTTCCCTGTGGCGAATTCATAGAAAAAAAACGGGGAAGGAAAAAGTGGACCTTAATCCCGGGTTAATTCGATATTTTGTGGAGAAATTAAACGGATATTAAGAAAAATATTTAAATTCTTCTCACATTAACAAATCTAGCCAGGGCGATCTGTTATTATCTTTTTGGTTTTTTGTTAAGAAAACCAAAAACTTACTCAAAGCATGAGCAAATACCAGCTTCACAATCATTTTTCGCTGAAGAACATTTAGAATACATTTTAGAACACGGTCTTTCAATAGGATTTGTTGGGTAATTTTCTTTTGTACACGTTCCTGCAGATACTAATGCTTTTAGACATGTAGGAAAATCAGTTTCTAGACATCTAAAATTTGTTGAATAATTTAATCATGAGATTTTTTGAAAATTCCCCGTCCCGCCCCCCCCCCCCCCCCCGTGGCCCTGTCTCGCCGAAAACCTTTCCAGTGCTCCTCTCAGTCCGTCGGGGACCTACTTCTACAAAATAAATTCTTAGTCTAGAAAATATTGAAGTGAGCTAAATCGCCAAGATATAGGTAACTTCGCTCAAAATTATAAAAAATTTAAAAACAATTTACAATTGAAAATAATTAAAAATATTATCAAAAATATTTAAATTAAATAACGGCCATCACAATATTTTATTTTCCAATTATTTTATAAATTTCTAAATTAATTAACAAACTTGCAGTCTTTATCGTAATCAGCCTCCATAGTACTGTCGCATTTTGGAATTGGAACTTTTTCGGCGTTTGTGAAATAACAAAAATTAATTAACAAAAATGGAAATAAAACAAAAAAATTCATTTTATTTTTAATTAAAAAATTTTTTTTATTAATGAACTCTTTAAACTATTATTCTGCCTTTTTATAATAAAATGAAAAAAATATTGTTTACCAATTAATCAAAATGAAAATTATTTTTTTTAAATTTAAATTTAAGTCTCGGTTTGGATGAAAATAAAGACAGGTTTTTAAAAGTACAAAATTAAACAATTTGGTAAATTAATTTTTTAAAATAAATTCTAATATGTAGGGTTGAATTTTTTTAACAGGGCCGACGTTCGAGAAATTTTTTCTGGCCCCATTTTTATCGAACCAAAAACCGACATTAAAAAATGTTAAACAAAAATCAATAATAAAGATCTACTAATTTGTGAAATAAGGGTTGAAGGTATATTAATTTTGAGGGAATCGTATATATCAGGTTCCTGGAGGGATTAAGGGGACTACGGAGTATGTTATGGAATTTGGATAATCTGGGTCCTTATTATTATTCCCATAATCTGGATCCGTACTATTATTTCCCTAAGAAACATCAAAATATGCATTAAAATTTGCATAAAAATATGCATTATGCAGCAAATTCCAAAATATGCATTATATGCAAATAGAACCTCCTTTAATGTTTTCAAAACACGCGGAAACTGTACTTTTTGTGCATTATTCATCATGCCAAGTTTGCAAAAACTATAAAGCTATACAAAAAGCTTGACTCTAATATGTACATATTTATATAGCAGTATTTCAATATATGTATGTAGTAATATCTCATCACCTCCAATTGTCGAGAATCAAACAGTCTGTCAACTTAATTAATTGACATTCAAAAATATTCGAAATTATTCAATGGATCTAGAATAATCTTCTTGTTTCAAGTTTAGTTATAGCTAGTCTAGAATAAAATAGATTATATTAAGCAAATTGAAGTTTAAATATGATTAAAACTTGAGCTCAATTATAACGAGAATCAACACAGTGCTGTTCAAAAGTATATATAAGACCACTTGAAATAATGGTATAACATGGGATTGAATGATTTTATGTCGTTAAATGATTTTCTATGCCTTTAAAAATTTAAAGTTGTAAAACTCAATTAAAGTTTTTTACTGTAAAACGAAACTTGGTGATATTTTAGCAAATTCAATGGGCTTTCAGAAAATAACAAAATAGAAATTACAGGCGTTTCCGCACCCTGGGAGTGGTACCATTCGACTGGTATATATTTGATATCGGTTTCAAACCGGCCACCGGCTAAAGTACAGCCTAAGTTGCAGTTAAATATAATTATCGCCTCCATTAAAATTAAAAAATCAAATTCACCCCCAATAGATTTAAAGAATTATTCCCTCCATTTCTCCCATTTTTTCCGTAAATCCACAAGAAATCGTTTGACTAAAAAGAGACCTCCAAAATCTTTGGTTAAATTCGGCGTTTCATTTTCATTATTTTCTCGGGCTTTCCGTCACCGTTTTGCGGTGCAAAAGTGAACAAATCCATTAAATATACAATCAATTTTGCTTTCAAAATTCCTTTTTTCTTTTTGCTTTCTTTCATTTTCAAGAAATTAAAATCATTTACATAGACGCTTGAATATGAAAATTTTTGTTAACTAGGGGAGATATTTTAACAACTCCAAAATTCAAAATTGGAAGCCAGAGAATGTTTATAATTTAATTTTTAATATTCTCCTGATTTAAAGTATTCAAGGAACTGAACATTTTTTGTTGAATCCATTTATCAAAGGGGAATATGCCTGATAGGAGAGTCATCTTGTTTTTGGATCTTTGAAAGGAAGAATTTTGTTTTAAACACCCTTAACTAAGATTAGCGGATCCGGATATCCGGATCCGAAAAATTGCCGGATATCCGGAAATTTTCGGTTCGCATTCCGGATACAAATATCCGAAGATTTCCAATTATCCGCCAACCTTACCCTTAACTACAAATATTTTGGAATCTAAATATTCGTTTCTAAATTTTGTAAAAAATTTTTTGATAAATTTCAAAGATTCTTTAGACAATTTCTTTCGTGTTTGACAAAAAATAATTTGAAGGAGAAATTTTTCGACGATTCAGAAAAGTCATCGACTTTTAAAACATTAAATATTCCCGAATTCCTTCTTATATTCCCCCTTTCTTTTGTTAAATCTTTAGCTGTATATTCACTTTTGCTTTCCCCATTCCAAAAAGAAAATCCATTTAAAATCCATTTATTCCCCCCTCCCTCCCCCATAATTTTCTCTTTTCTAACAGGATTTGCTCTCTTCTCTCCCTATTTTGATCTCCTTTTCCCTCATTCGATTTATTTTCTTTTTAATTAAATAAATTAATTTTATTTGAAAGAGAATCTCTTCAATTATGCAATTAATAAATAAAAGATTAAATTCCCGATTTTTATTATTTTTTGTGTCGAATGCCTTTATTTTTATATTTTTGCCTTCAATAAATGCACAATTCCTCAATTCTCAATTTTCTGATTCTTCCTCTTCCACCCTCAAAGTTGACCCTTTAAGGAAGGTTTTCGGAATTTGGGGAAGGTTATTGAATCGAATGGCTCAACCAAGCCCTCCTACAGACGATGAACTTCATTTAAAGGTTTTTTGAAGGAAATTAATTTGGGAATTTTCTTTCAATGTTTAAAGGGTTTGCAAGAAGGAACAGAAGAAAATGACAATTTTATTGAAGAGTCTGACTGGACTAGACGTATAGCAGGTGCTGGGGATGGAAGCAGGAAAGTGCCGGCTACCGGGGCTAATCGAATAATTGATGAAGCTAAGCTTAACCAGCTTCTTCCTAGACTAAATTCTCAAAGTCCAACAACTACAATTTCAACAAAAACAGTTTCTACAACCTCCATAACCTCAAAAAATGATAGTAGAGCAATTGAGGAAGGAATCACAGTCAATCCAAAAAATGAAACAAAAATTGTAGCGGAATTAGAATTAAATAATAAAAATGAATTAATTAATTCAACAATTCTGATTCCAAAATCAGAAGAGTTTAGAAAAAAGAAAACAAAGAAAAACAAAAGAAAAAGGCCTACAACAATTAATATACCCTTACTAAAACAAGCTGAAGGAGTGAATTCAGAGGGTGAGTAAGGCACGGTTTTTGGATTGTAAAATAAGTATTTGTGTAGATAAAAATGAAATTTTGCAGAATTATTCTTAATGGTGTTAACTAGCCTTACAAAAATTTTAGAATTTTTGGTTGATTATTTTGGATGGTATTAAAAAAATTACTAAATTTTTCGCATATTTTTGAATTTTTGGATTCTTGTTATCATAACTTGAGAAATTCTGAAAATTAAATTCTGAAATTTTTAGAGACATTAGATAACTTCGTCGGGGATGTCTATGCAAATTTTTATTTCTCTAAGTATTCGCTAGACTATTTTACGGGGTTTTAAGTGGCAGTAAATTATGAAAAAATGACAAAAATTAATTTAAAATGAACAAATTTTTAGAAAATTCAACAAAAATAATTTCTCAAAAAATAGAAAATGAGAATAACACTCAAAAAACAACAAAAATTGAATCAGCCACAACAAATCTAGATGGATTATTGAAGGAAGAAGAAAGATTACTAGTTAATAGTTCCCCCCTTCGAGTAGACCAATCAAAATCTATTAATTTTAATGAGACTGAATTAATTGGGATTGCTAAAATGGAAAATGAAACAGCTCAACTAATAGCGGTAATAGAAAATGTTTTGGCAGATGCTGAAGTTGGGCCAAATGCTGGAGGTTATTGGCTACACGAAGCTGCTACTGTTAGTACCTCTACAACACCCTCGACTACAAATAGTTTGGAATATATTAATGAGACAACTACAAATATGTCAAAAAATACTTCTAATAATGGCATGTTAAATTATTTTTAAATCCAGATTTCAGTATTACCTAATTGTAATGTCCAAAATTAGTTTCCGATACAAATTTATTTAGTAGCTTTTTAAACTCTCGATTTCTCTTTGCGCGCAAAGAGCTACTTTTATACGGTACATTCTCTCATTCTTAATTTTCGACAACTCTAGATTTAAATCAGACAGTTTTTGTGTTCTTGCTAGAAGAAGGAATATGTAGGAAAAAATATTCTAGCCTCTATAAAATGGATTTTTCAACATTATAGACTTTAATATTACTTTTAGTCGTGTATCCTTCCACCACAGATTTTGATCATAAAAATCTTTCATTTTTTCTTAAGCTGAAATATCATGAAAATTTTTACCGTAGTTATTCAAAAATATATTTCTACAGATAAATTGGAAAATCCCACCCTTAAGAACGACAATAAAGAAAACAAAGAAGATTCCGTCCAACATAAATCAGGAAAAGAAGATACAAAAGAGGAGGAGGATGAAGAATCAGAAGAAGACGAAGAAGCCGAAGAAAATGATCAAGACATATTAGAAAATAAAGAAAATGTGTTAAATAATTCCAATAAAGAATTTAATAATTTAAAAACAAAAATAAACAATACAGAGGGGAACACTACAAAAAGTACAGTATCAACTACAAAAATAATACCTGTAATTTCTGAAAAGTTTAGTAAAAAGAAGGAAGGAATAAAATATATTCCAGAAGCTGAAGAAGAAGAACAGGCTGGTTCGTTAGCTAATTTTTTAAAAGTCAGAGTAAAAATTCGTTAGTCCGAGTGGAACATGTCCTCCCCAATAGGGTTAGCGGTACGGACATCCGAGACCGGAAATAGTACGGGTATCCAAAGATTCTACAGAAACCGCCAATCTAATCTTCATTCTAACCCTATTAGTTCGTCCTGTCTTGTTTCTTTTAGCCAATTTTCTTGCCCGAATGGAACATGTCCTTTCCCAACTATTTTCTTTTTTAATGAAACAAAAATTAGTTATAAAAATTTTAAGCTGATATTGCATCACTTCAACTTGATTCTGTCGCAGCTCCAGCCCTTACCGAAGCATCCAACATTAGTATAATAAATACGAGCTCTTCAATGCCAGAGACGAGTAAAACAGCTGTTCCTTATCTTTTCAATTTACCTGTAAGTGCATAAATGTAATAACTTATCCCGACATTACGAATAATGAGTTCAAATGTGACACTAACATAAATTTATGTAGTTTGTACTTGTTAGGAGGACAGTATGGTGCGTAAGGTGATTTAAGGGCATGTCCTGATTTATGGGCATGACAGCAAGGCTACCTTCCTGACATATCTATCCTTCTTAGCATATCACGAGATAAGTGGAGGAGGGATAAGTTAAGGAATAAGTCAAAGCTTCTATAAGTTTTTATTCTTACTTATCCCTATTTAATTTAGAACAATTCAACAATGCCCAACTTTTCAACTATGATTAAGCCTGTTAATTCAATTATTGATGGTATTGGCCCTCTAATATTGCCTTTAATTGGTTATAGCAGACAAGCTTTGGATTCATATTCTTTAACTAATAATTTATTGCCTGGAGTGCCTTTATTGAGACAACAAAGTGGTTAGTGAATAAATTAAATTTTTAAAATTTAATTAAATACACCCTCTCATTAATGAAAAGAAATTTAATTCAATACTGGAGATATTTCCACCAACCTTAAACTTTGTGCCTAGAGTGGTAAACCTATAACCGGCTTAATCAATCTCATAAAATGGCATGTTTGACTGATCTCTTTAGAACAATTGCTGGGTATTAGGCAGTTTGTGATTCAGGCTCCCTTAAAACGGAGGGATAAATAATCTTCAATTAGTGCTTAATACACTTTGCCCCAAGAGTTCATTTTTTGAGCCCAATTACAAGCTCAATCCTAGGGATTTTGGACTTATAAAACTTATATCTAACGAAGAAATATTAAACTCTAAAAATTTTTTAAAGAAATACGTTCATCCCCTCAATCATTTCAACAACAACAACCCAAACAACAAAGAAGCTTAATCGAAGAAATATTATCACGCCCCTTTGCTTCCCCACTTTTTGCCTCTCCTTTTGTTACTCAACAAAATGAAGAAGAAAAACAAGTAAAAGAACAACAACAGCAACAATCATTATTAGCTTCTGAACCTCCCAGTCTTGAATTGTTAGATAAAATAGTTGAACAGAGAAGACAGAGGGAAAATGCTGCAAATGAATTAATGATGAAACGATTGAGAGAAGTAAGGGGAATTTTGAAAAATTAAAAGACACTCAAACACTCAAAATTAGAGATCGGACCGAGACGAGATACCAAAAAAGCTTGGTTATTAAGAGAGATTTTTTTCGATATAATGATTCTCGTAAGACACTCCAGACCTGTGCCTACCCAACACCCGGTACATTTATGATAGGTTTTTTAGCTTAGGTTGGCCATTGAGTGAGAGAGGAACTTCCTATCTTATATATTAATGATAAAAGATACTAAAATAGGGATAAGATAGCCCCAAGAGAGCATCCAAAAATAAGAGTTGATTTTTACTATATGGAGAGAAAGTCTACAAGATTACAAAATGGATATTTTTGTTCATCGAGCTCTGATCACTTTAATTTGCGTATCACTTAAACTGCTCGAAAAGCACTTTCAGACGGCTTATTATATGTATATTTAGATAATTTATTCTTAATAATAGACTAACCAGTTATCAGAGAAAATATTCTTGCCTTTAATTTAATTCAAAAATACAAAATTAATTCTTTGATTTATTCTAATTTTTTCAGAATAAAGTAGTTGAGCAGAATACTGTAACAATACCTCAAACAACAACAATCATAGCTTCTCCACCTCCAGATAGCGGGTATGATAATGGACGTAGAGTTGTTCTCGACAAGTTTCATGAGGACAGTGGTGAGAACTTTGAATATTTTTCAATATTAGAGACCCCTCAATATAAGAGACTTTTCCTTGATCATTAGTTGATTGTTTGGTTTGACTAGTAAATAGTCAAGCAAAATGTTTCACACAGTTAGTAGGGTGCATGTACCTTTCGTACGACAACTAGTGCGAAGGGAACATTGCTTTATCCATAGTGTTTACGAATTTAAAAATTTTATTTTTTCCGACAAATTTTATGCCTAAACTCTTAATTTAAAAAAATTAATTTCCAAGGATTAATAAGAAAGAGCGAACAAGGACAAAAAGCACAACCTTTAGAGAGCCAAGGACCTCCACCTTCAGCACAACGCCCTCAAGGATTTGGAGGTGGTAAGAGACCGAACAGTATATCCTCCCCCTTCCGATTTTTATCAAGTAAATAAATTAAATTACCTATTTATTATTGTATAATATATTTAAAATTGTTTAAAAAATATTTATAAATAAAAAGATTTATGCCAGAATGAATATTGTTTAATTTTAATAAAAATTATTATGGGAAAGAAAGAACATTTAATTTTTAACCAAATGAGAAAAACCTCCTTGATGTGAGTTAAGAACGTCTCCAGCAAGAACATCTTTTGTCATGATGCTGCGCCTTTATACTAAGCGCGCCACCCTAACATCCACTACCCCTGAAATAGTAACAGTTGTTACTTTTTGTGTAGACAATCGCATAGAATTATTGACTTTCTTTATACTTCTAGGACTATTCTTTAAAAAAGCCATTCTCTTTATTTTATACAGCTAACAAAATAAAATTCTATTATTTTATTTTCAAAAATTTATTTGATAAAATTAACTTAGTTTTTAATTAAATTTTTATATAAAATCAAGCAATAAGTAGAAAATCTTGCAAATTTAAAAAAATATTTCCTAAAGAATGTTTAAAATTATTTAAAATTTTAGTGTTTCGTGTGACAATATGTGTTGATCACTTGGGATCAAACTTTTGTTAGAGCATTGCTTCATCTGATGATAAAGGTGATGATAAAATTTTTTAATAATTAAAACATAAAAAAATAAACAATTAAATTAGATATAGTCGGATCTAGGGTGTACGTTAGTGTCGTATGAGAAAAGTACGAATAACTTTATCTCGATAATCGAAATCTTTGTTTGAGATTTCGTCTTGAGCTGTTCGCTAGTCGGATCTTAGTTGTACTGTAACTATCTAATTTAGTCCCCTCATGACATAATTTTAAAATCTGGTTGAACCCTGGGAGAACCTGATCTAAACATGAAAGAACACATCTGTTTTGTATACGACCTCATTTTCTTGTTCTAAATTATTTTCAAAGTTAATTTATCAACATTAATTTTTAAAGCTATATTTTAAGGAATAATTTATCATAAATTTTCAGATTTGCGGACTGCTTTCGCAGTACTTTCCAATATTTAGAAGCTAGGCGACCAAGCCTATTAACTTGCTCGACGGAGCATGTGCTCTGACCTTACGCCTCGAAAGTTCTTGTCTGCGGTAGCGTGAGCGCCGTACTCCGTCCCTCACAGCAAAATACACCAACTGGAGTACGGGCCAAAAGCATCCAATATTTCGAGTATTAGTGTTCATGTGTACTAAATCTGGTTTTCCAGGTAAATTCGGTTAAATTAAAATTATTTAAATCATTGTTTATTTCGATTAATTAATACTTTGTAAAAGTATAAGTTTAGTTTATTAGTTATATTATATTTGAAATAATTAATACTTTGTAAAATCTTTAATTTAGGAAACGCATATCATCAATGATTCAGGTAAATTTTAAATTTAATTATAATTTAATTTTTAAATTTGCAAGATTTTCTATTGTCATTGTTAGAGACATATTTATGATTTTTATTTAAGATTAAAACGTATTTATTAAATTAATTTACTATTGATATATTCTAAAAATTTAATTTTAGACCTTGATTTTTATACTTAAGGTATGGCCAATTGAATTAATTTTAGATTTTGAGCTTATTAAGGACGTCTTTATTGTAAATGTTTATTTTATACATTTTTAATAGAAGCTCGATTAGTTATGTTTGATAGTTCTAACTGAGCTGAATCTTTTTTATTTTTTAAAAATCTTCTTTTAAATAATTTATCAATGCAAAGCATCGACATCCATAAATGTGAATTGTCACAAAAGATTTTTAGGATCTCGCTCTAGCACTCTTTACACCCTACGGAATTATTCATATGTATGTTTGGAATTGCCACAAATATTTTTTCGATAAAATTACAAACAGGGAGTCTGTTTCGAAATTATAAACCACCTTACATCTTATGTTACTCTTAATTAACTGCGCAAACAAAACAAAAATTTCTTCAAAATATTTCTACAAAGTATTTTTTACAATGAATTTTCGAAAAATTCGGCGATTCAAATTAAACACCACCTTCTGTTAACGTACTAGAAATGCTATGTAGTTTCTATTATAATATTTAGTCAAAATTCGAATAAACTTAATTGTTTCTTCTTATTTATACTAGGCTTACGAAAATTTTTCTATGCCTTATTTACAAGTATAGAAAAATGTATGTACTTGTATAAAATTTTAGAAAGAATTTCAAAAAATAATGGTAATTCTTCGGTTGTCGCCCCCCCCCCCTTTTTTATGCTTCCCTGACCATTTTGAGCTTTTTTGCTTTGACATGTGATGTTGAAAGGGATTCAAACAATTGCTCATAACTATGTTGATTCAATTCAGATTTCGACGATTCTAGTGCCGTTCGACTCAGCTCGAAGTGCTCTTTCGAATGTATATAAAAGTTCATAGAGATTTCATGGAAAATGTAAAAAAATAGAACATAAAAAAAGGGGGGGGCGACGACCGAAGAATTACCAAAAAAATTTTTACAACGCATTAATGATAAAATTGAAATGTATTTAAAAATAATTTTTATAAATTTTTAATTCTGTTAATATCATTATAATCTCCTTCAATGTTTTGATAAGTATTCGAAGCAAAATAAAAATGAGATGATAATTTACTGTCAAAATTTATTCTAAAGACACTGACAACAATATCCACCTAAATTTAAGATATAATTATAAATTAATTGGCAAATTGGTGGTGACGCTTAGGCAATATCTTCTATTATTTAAGATACACCTAATTATAACATAACCTTTTTCAGCTCCAAGAACATATCTATAGGTGAGATCCGATTGAACTTTAATTCCCAATTTTAAAAATTTTTCAAAGAGAAGGCAGAAATTAAATTACTCCCCGCCTCCCCCACTTTCCGAATGTCTTTTCTTCTTTTTACTTTCTTTTCTCTCAAAAATTAAAAAAATGTTCTAGGATTAATTAAATTATTAATTAAGAAAAGCTCAATTACATATCAATTCGCCAAAAATATTCATTAATTTTTGTAAGGCCAGGAATTTTTATTATTTTTAAAATAATTATTCTTTGGATGATTACGTTGTTTGTTGATTTCCCGATCATCTCGTTCCGCTATTCCTTGATATTTTTTAATAATCTTAATTGGAACATCCTCGGGGAACCAATCAGTAGAACGTCGACGTTGATAAAAGAGCATGTAAGTACAATCAGATTCACAAATTTCGTTTTGAGATTTTTCTGAAACCAAATTGTCATTAAATAAACGCCACTTTCCATCAATGAAATTACGAGTAGCTGCTGTGTAGTGACCTTTAAATTAATTTTAAAAATAATTTTTTAAAAATAATCCCAGTACTTTTATGATTTTAGAATCGGTTAAAGAAGGGAATTGTAGAATTATCAAAATTAAGGAACGCCAGAAACATAGAAACGTTTGATTTTTGGAATAAGACTTCCAATGGTAATATTCAGTGCTTGGACGCTCGCACCAAAATTCGTACTCATACGCGTACTTGGGTCCAAAATACTTAGGTTCTAAGCTCTCAGTTGATCAGTAGACTCCCCCTTTCCATCCTTGCCTAGTGGATCAAGGTAACAATAAAACATACCGGAGCTAAATTGAAATCCATGATGATATATCACACAAGACAAATCATATTTATTTTTATTGATACAATAATTGCTCATATCAAGCTCTTCAGGATTATTAACAAATTTAACATTCTTTATTGTTCCTCTTCCAGACTAAAATAACAAAAGGAATTTTATTAAACTTAATTATTGGGGGATGGGGGTAAATTAGACAAAGCATCTAGTTCATTAGCTATAGCTACACATAAAGTAATTGTTTTTAAAGTTGATTGATCATTAGCCTAAGCGATAAGCGATACCTCCTATCTAAAATAGTTACGTGTCTTGATAAGATATATCTTAATTATAGCTGTGTATCTTATGTGAGCTCTTATTTATTTTAATTATATAATTTAATTTAGACTTGGTAATGGATACGGTATTCAACCTGTGGATATTGTCTCTATCCCCCGTAAATATCCGAATACGTAAACCAAAATCCATGTCCATTATCAAGTCCAATTTAATTACCTGATTAAAACGTTTAAGGTAAAACACTAGAATATCAGACAAATGATCGAATTTAATTTGCATTGACCCAGAAAGATTTTTACACTTTGGACAGTTCCAGCCATGTATAGGTTCTATTAATTAAAGAGAATTTATAATAAATTTTAATCAAAAACATACCAGATTTAACAAAATTATCAAGCATCGTAATTAAAGAAACTTGGGTTTGTTTTGAATTTTTATTGAACTTATTCTGTAACGAATCATTTTCATTTATTTGTTCTTTCTTTGTTTTATACTTATTTTCAAATTCTTTTTTTAAAGACAAATCCCATTCAACATTTATATGAATAACTTTTTTCGTAATTTTTTCATCATTAAAAACACTAAAAAATTATTACATTAATATTTATAAATTCCCAACTCTAGCAAGGGCAATTAATCGAGAGGGGGAATTATTCGAAGGAGGGGAATTAATCGAGAAAATACGGTATCCCATAAATTGAAAAAAAATTTGTGTAAGTAAATACTTATACCGGACGTTAGAGTTTTTTTCATGCCAAATAATGTTTTGTTTTCATGTTTTTTGTCTTTCATGCCAAAGATTTACATATAGAGGAAACTTGGGGAGTAAAAGGGGGTATGGAAACGAGACTATTACGGATAATTGTTTAATCACTGTTGAGAAAAATACAAATGAGAATACATGATTCGGGAATATTTATGTAGCAGGATAAAAAATTCCTTGAAATTTTAAATTTACTTGTCCACATAGACATTCTTAAGTGGCGTTAATGTTGCAGGGTCAATATGCTTATCAGTTTGATGACAATAAACCAATCCTTTAGATTTTTGAAGGGAGCAATAGACAGATCCATTAGCAGAATTTAGTAAAACAAGTTTAAAATCGGGATTAATCTGGTAAAAAGGTTGTGGAAGAAGAAATTCTCCATCCTTCATCAAATCAAGACATAACTGATCATAAGTAATATTTCTAAACAAAAAAGACAGATATGGCTCGCCAAAACTAAAATTTTCAAAAAAATTATTTTGAAGATAATTCTTTCAAATTTACATTTTCCCATCAAAAACAAAATTAACTATAGCAATAACTAATTTTTGTTCATGTTGTTTATGAATTTCTCCGGGTATTCCAAGAATTGTAAAATCATTTAGTTGACTATAATCTTCAAGAACTACATTATCCGGAACTAAACAGGATTGCCCATCTGGGTTAATTTTACATGCAACCATCTAAAAAATAATTTTATTTTTAAAGCCATAACAGTATTTGATGAAGAATCATGACAAATAAATTCCCGATTTCGAAAATTCCGACACAAGACTTCGGGAATTTCCGATGTTCAGGAATCGGGACGGTATACAAACTTCGGCTCTTGTTCATTTTGCGTCCAATCGCACTTTTATAGGTTCAATGTAAAGTTTAAACGTCCAAACAAAACTCTGGGTGAGTAGAGCTTTATATTCCCGTAGATTTTATGGTACAAATTGATTGGACGCATAAACTTTCCATTGGACGCATAAAAATTTGTTTGTAAGTATAAACTTTTCATTGAACATATAAAGGTTGATTGGACTTATAAAAGTGAGATTGGACGCATAAACTGGACAAGAGCCTAATCTTCTACATATATTCCAGGGTTTGGACAATTAACACAAGAAAAATTTTTCTAAACAAACAGTTATTGGCTTGATTTTCATAGTTTTTTCTATTGCCTCCATTACATCTTTAACAATTATGCCAGATTCAGAAATGTCAAAATGGAAACAAGTAATTTTACGTGGAGTCATACAAATAAATTTTACAGTATATTTACGTGGCCTAAAAGATTTTAAATTTTTTGCAAGATTAAATTCAAATTTACAAAGGAACGCTGAGTGAAACAGACAGAAAGGGTTCAGTTGAGGTGTCAACAAAATTGCAAGTTGGAGTAGTACATTTTATTTCATGACGAAATTGGCCTCTAAACAATTAAAATTTTAAAATAAGTAAGGTATGCGGGTCTAGTATATGCGGGGCTAGTCTTAGTTATCTTTCTTTGTCGCTAAGCCGAGCGTTGCATCTTGCCCTTGACTTTCTTGCTTAACTTGTATTTACTTTTGTGATAAACTATAAATTGTTTTATTTTGGTTGTCCCAGGCTAACCCTAGGTTTATAACAGAAAGTGTTATCCCTCATTTATCTTTGCTCGGGTAATTTGGTTTTGACTTTTAACCCAATGGTGATTCCCATTTATCGAGTTTCACATGAATAGCGTTCCAATGATATTTTTCGTCTTATGGGATATTTAAGGTGATTTGGAGGTATAGAAGAAAATCAAATAAAAATTTTTAAAACTTACTGAAATAATTTTAAAAGTGTAGATACTTCATTATTTTTAATCATTTTAATATGTGGCTCAAAGCTAGAACCTTTCCCAATTTTACTATCCAAATTAAAATCCAAAATTTCTCGATTAAGTTTATCTAATAACCAAATCATGCATTCATGGGTATCCTATTAAATATATTTTAATAAATTTTAAAAAATTCAAAAACATGTTGATAGCCAACGCAAAATGCTGGATTGTCATTAGCAATAGAAAGAATAGTTTGACGACAAAAATAATCAACAAAGTAATTATGATTGAACCACATATAACGAATCGTATTAAGAAATAAGTCGAAAATACCATGCTTAAAATCCAAATAATAATTTTTAATACTCACAAGGAACCATCTCCACTAGGGTTGCCGGTTCTTGGAAAATCTTCGGATATCCTGAACCGAACCGATATCCGAATCGAAAAATCATCGGCTCATCGGTTCGGTTCAGAACCGACAACCCTAGTCACCACAATCTTGATCATTGAACGGCCATAACTCGGCCCAAAGTGATTTTGCAAGAAAATCGCTATCACTTTGCAATATCAAGTCTGAGGTCCTCTATCGAATGCTATCAAAGAAAATAACAAATTCGAGGTGATAGTAAAGGAAGGTTCCTTATCCGTGAGATTTTAATGTTTTTACCTCCCTATTATCCTCATCAAAGTCCTTACAAAGCAAAAATTCAGCAAGACGGTCACAGCCAGCAAAGCTCTGAATTAAGGCATTGAAATAACATGTATTTCCATGATTTTTAAGTCCTAATTTAGAATGATTAGTTTGATATTATTTTGTTATTAGACCTTTTAAGCATGGAATTCCAATTCGTTTCGGAACAAATTCGTTCCTACAAATATTTTGTTCAGAGGAGTGAGTTGACATTGTATATTCGTTTTCGTTTCCATAATAGTTAGTAGACACCATTTGATTATTTTCAGAAGTATTTTGATCGGGACGGCATAATTTGGATTTGGGCCCATTACAAGAATTCCCTGCCTTTTCGGGATTTTTATGATTAAAGTTTGAGTTTTTATCAAAATCCATTCCAGAATTAATTTGTTCAGAAGAGCCTGTTGTTGTCACTGTGTCTAGAAGTTTTCCATCAACTGAATAGTGTTTCTTGTGGTTTTTCTCCCGATTAGAATCAACTAATTGGTTTGACCCAAACTCCATCGAATGTGTTGTTTGAAATTGTGATCTCTTAGAATACCCACTCTGCTTGGGAGATCCTTTAAGTGGCGTTGCAGAACGATGTTCGTTAGTATCATTTGCAGAAACCATTTCGATATCTCCATTTTGATAAGTTTCTCCTGATGTCGGGTTTAAATTTGAAGAGGAATTCGATGGATGTTTGATAAGAGAATTAACCTCAGACTTCTTTCCTATGATAAATTAAAGTAAACAATGAAGGGGATCTTTTAATATGGAAAGATTTAGAACCTGAATTATTTGTGCGATGATTATAAGGCATAGAACCAGAATTTTCTTTTGGGCCAAAGAGTTTGACAGGTTGTTTTTTGTTTAAAGAACCTTAAAACGAATTAAATTTTTTTAATTAATGGGAATGAGATATGTACATATATCAACCAAAACGGATATGAAAAGTAATTAATTAAAAAATTTTTGAGGATATTTTTCGATAAATTGTGAATTCTAAATGCAAAGTTAAATTATTTAATTTTAATCTAAGCAAAAACAAAAACAATCTAAGCAAAAACACAATATTTCTAAAGGAGTGTGCCGAAATTGATTTAAAATAATAAATTTAGAAGGTGAAACTCGAAACTACAAAATAAAGGACGAAAAAAATTAAATTAAAAAAATATATATATATTTTTTCATAATTTAAAAAATTATATGATAAGTTAAGTAATCATAGAGGTGAGATATAAAAATATTAATAGGAACAATAAAATTACCATTTGATGCTGACAATTTATCAGAATTCCGTTTAATATTATTGTTTAAGCTAGAGTTATCTGAATAATTGAGTATGTCAAGATCAGAAGCATTTGATGAATTATCAATGGAATTTAAAAGTTTCATTTTAACATTGAAAACTTCTAATGCTATTTCAAAGTCCTCTTGACTTTTAAATTGTGAACGAAAGGGAAAGTCCATAGTCCCGGACATGTCAATAAAAAATTAATCTAAAAAATATAAATAATAAATAAATTTTAATTTTATTAAGTATTTCCATTCCTATCGGTTTTAAAATATTGGAGGTTCTACGGTATCGGTTCTGAGTTCTCAAAAACAGAATAACAAATCTACTATGAGCCAGGCAAAAATTTCTTACATTTTATACCTTTTAATAATAGCCATTTTTAATGAAAAAATTATTTTCAAAAGATAATCATAATTTTAAAAATTATATGATAAGTTAAGAAATCATAGAGGTGAGATACAATTCTAAAATTTAGCTAAATTATTTAGCTAAATTAATAAAAAATCCCAAAACGTTGGCAAAAATATGCCAAAATGCTGAAGTAAATTGAAAAAAGTGCCAAATATTGGAATAACTGGAAATTGGTATAATATTGAAATATATTGAACAGTAACTTAGTTTAAAATTATAATATCGAAAAACTAATGGAATATCTGGGCTTCTTTCTAGAAAATATACTTATCGTTAGTATGTAGGTATTTGCAGAAAAAATATATTCCAATACAAATCCGTGCCCTAGTTATAATTGAGGTGAAAAATACTGTAGCTTACAATCAGGTTTATCATAAATAGGGGTTATCACTTACGCACCTTCCACCGGGAGATAAAAATTTTTAAATGACTATTGAATGCACTCATAAAGGTCAGACTCTATTTAAATTTTATAAAGTATACAAAATATTTAAAAAATAAAGTTTGTGAAAATGAGAAATTTTATTAAGAATAATTTTACTTAAATAAAGTTAGTCTAATATGTAGATTGCCTGACTGAAAAAATATTTTCAGGTCAACGTTAAATTATAAAGAATGTCACAGGGGAATAAAAATAATCTTTTCTCAATAAATAAAGGAAAAATATTTAAAAATGTTTGAACTTGTTGACCTACACATTGAAGGTCCTTCCCTATTTTTGAACAGAAACTATAGATGGATAGGAAATGACGAAGGTAATGGAAATTGGAACTGACGTAAATCGTAAATTAGCCTAAATTTTTGGAAGTCGTAAATGCCAAACGGCAAAATTCCACAGAAAAATTGAATTTAGGGTATATGTATGTAATTACCATAAATTCAAAATTAAGGTATAATTTCAGAATACAAACGGAACGATGTTAGTACAAATTATGGTACTTATTTAGTAGGTCTAAATAATGTCATAACTTTGTCAAAGCTCGTCCGATTACGTTGATTTCGGTGTCATTCGACTCAGCTCGACAAGCTCTTTCAAATGAGATATCATTTGCTTATTCAAAAAATTGACCCTGTGGTTGTTCAATTTTCAGGGGTCTGTATCTCGGTCCAATCAAGTCGGATTTTGTCGATTTTGGTGTCATTCGACACAGCTCGATGTGTTCTACAATTTTTTTTGTTCATACTAGCCGTTTTTACATATTTTCCAAAAAAATTGACTGGGCGGACTAAATAAGTACCCAAATTATATATCATTCGAGAGAATTTGTCGGACCTTTTTATCAATAAAATTTTTTTTACTTCTTACAACTCTAATAAGAGAATCTGAAGAGATTAAAGAGGATAATGAGGGAGTTGGCCGGATTAAGGGGGATATCGGAGGATTCGGAGGGATATCGAGGGATAAGATGGATATCTGTGTATCAGGCTATTAAAAGGCTGCTGAATAATTTAAAAATAAATAATTTAAATGGCCAATTTTATTTTAAAATAAAAAAATTTATTTTAATAAAATTAATATTCTAAAATTGCCTGCATATTTAAAATATTTCTAAAAATATCAAAACAAAAATGAATTTAGATACAGAAAATTATTTAAATGGATAAATATAGACAAAAAATTTTTGTTTAAGTTTATAAATATTCATGATCTAAAAATGCTTATAAAAAGGTTTTTTTAAAAGTGCTTTTCAAAAACTTTTTAAAAATTATAAAAAAAAATGTTATTATTAAAAAATAAAATTAAAAATATTTTCTGTTTGTTTTTAATTTTTAATTTAAATGAAAGTAACCAGCAATGTGAATGTAAACCTGAATTTGAAATAGTAAAACCTGATAAAGTAGAAGGACCTTTAACACAAGACTTTCAAGAATGGCTTGCTCAGTAAATACCTATATATTAAATAAAATTACCGTGAAAGTCCTAATGCCCCCTCCCATTATGTAGACCAGGGCTGGGCTTATTTCGCACTTTCGCGTTTCGCATCTTTCGCATTCTCGCATTTTTTGGCGCGAAAAATTTCACATTTCGCTTTTTATTTTTCATTACGCCCAGCCCTGATGTAGACCGAGGCTTTAATTGGGACATTTAAAGTCTGTTCCAAAATTATAAACGCACCCCATTTTTCTCAATAGTTCAAGTTCCAGTCAATTTTTCTAAAAGATTTTTTTAATTGTCATATAGGACCATGGGATATATAGGACCTATATTATAAAAAAATTAAATAATTTAACGTCCGTAAATTTAAAAATCCGTTTCAGTATTAAATATTGTTTATCCCATGGTCCTATATGAAAATTAAAAAAATCTTTTAGAAAAATTGGCTGGAACTTGAAATATTGAGAAAAATCGGGGTGCGGTTATAATTTTGGAACAGAGTGTATATATGAATTAAGAAATATTTTTTCTGCGTTAAAAATTAAAAAAATTTAAAAAAAATTTTGACAGGCATGAATATTATGAAGACTTTGCTGGTTTTGGTAATTCAAATAGTTTTGGTGGGCGTAAATACAAAAATCAGCCGGTAAATATTAGAAAATTAAATTATAATTAGGTATCCTTAATAAGCCGAATCTTTCCTCATAAAAAATAGATACAACAAAAAACTAAGGATATTTGTCTAAAATTTATCCTACTCATTGGGATTGGTGGTTAATTGTAGATTTTTAATTTGCGCTTTTCTGCCAACTCTAATAAATTAGTGAAATTTTTATAATACTTTTAAAAAAGATAACTAATAACTAATAATGTTAAGTATGTATGAGAGGCTAAGTATGTATGAGAGGTGGGTCGAAATTCTAATTTCCGACTTCCGATTTCCGGCGTTTTTTCCTTTCGATTTCCGAAAAAAATTTGATTTCCGAGTTCCAACTTTTGAGCCAGTTCCGATTTCCGGCTCTTCCGATTTCCGACACCTTGGACTTTCCGCCCCACCTAGGTATGTATGTATATATAACTTTTAGATAAATAAACGTCCAGTAGTATTTATTCATGGCAATTCTGATGGGGCGTTGGCTGGGCATGGTGGTGATTGGAACAGTGGATGGAGTAATTCAATTAGTTATTTTATGTCACATGGAGGATATACTACAGCTGAATTATATGCAATAACTTATGGAGTTAGAAATATTACAAAATCTTTGGAAAAGTATTTTTTATTCGATTATTGATACACAGCGAGAGTTAAATAATAAACATTAGCTTTTTTAATTCATTAGGAATAAAAAAAAATTTTGCCCCGTTTATTTTTAAACTAAAAATGCTTTAACAGTAGATTAGAATAAAAAGATTGTTATTAATAGGGCTGGCAATTGTATTGAAATCTTTATTTTTTCCTGAATTGCTTAGGGTCTGAAACGCACGAAAAACACACTTTCCGCGCTGTTTGCTTACAAAAATGAGGACTTCCATTTCCATTTTTTCCATATTTTTCCAACTCAAAATGTCTCACTACAAACTAAAAATTTGCTAATGTTTGCGACCAAATTTATTTAATTGTGATTAAAAATTAAAATTTTATCCATATTTTCGGGATTTTTTCCATATTTCATCCATAATTTGAAAAATTTCATTCTTATTTTATGTGCATATTTTCGATATTTTTGTCCATATAATAGCCAGCCCTAGTTATTGAGGTTCGTGTCCATCTGGGCCCGTATCATAAGAGCAAGTTGTTAAAACGGTATCATAGGAAGTTGGTCATTTAACCAGATCATTTAACCCCTACCGAGAGGTTTTTTCGTATCATAAGCGCGTCTGGTATTTTTCTTCTTGCTTACCACGAACTCGCTTCTTATGATACCAATTTTACCATCCGGTAAGGGTTAAACAACCACGAACCACGTTCTTATGATACGGGCCCTGGGAGTAAAATTATGAGAAAATAGTGAACTAATTAATTTTCAATATAAAAATTTTTAACAATTAAATGATTTAAAATCAAAATAATTCTTTTATCCAAAAATTATTTTTTATAAAGTAAATTAACTTGCGGGACTGCTACAAGGTTGAGAAGATTTGTAAATGCTGTTTTAGAATATACAGGTGCAGAAGAAATAGATATTATTGCTCATTCAATGGGTGTTACTTATGCAAGAATTATTATTCAAGGGAATATGCGGATTTTACACAACGTAAAATTAAAATGGTTATTAAAAAATTTTAATTTTAAAGTGCCAACTTGGAGCCCCTCTAAAAAGTAAAATAAATAAATTTATTGCAATCGCTGGTGCTAACTTTGGGATGTGTATTTGTGCTGATAGTGAAGGAGAAACAATTAACGATACAAAAAGAGTTCCAGCTTGTAGTAAAGAAGTATGGGGCTATTTAGTAGGGTGGGCTTAGTCTCGTATCTCGACCATATAAAAAACAGTTACATTAAAAACAGATCGACCTTATAAATCCTTTGAGCCTCTAAATCCCAAACCATTCATAATCCACCTGAAATCATTATCCATTCAAATCCTTATATTTTCTATAATATCTTGTGTCTCGTATCTCGTGTCTCGTATTTTTTGGGACCCGGCCCACCCCTGCTATTTAATATACAATTTAATTGTAAAAAATTTAAAGTTTGGTTTCTGGGTTGGTCCAAGCTGTCCAAACTATTCAGATGTAACACTGTGTAGAGAAAATATTCTTCCCTGTGAAGATAATTCTGGGGATATATTGGCAAAATTGAATTATTCAAGAGATGATGCTAAATATATTGTAATAAATTTACTATATTTATATTTATTTTTACTTCAAAAATAATTATTTTAGGCAAGTTTTTGGTCAACTAACGACACAATAATAGGCCCAAATAATATGGCATATGGATGGAGAACTTCAATTGTTGAAGGAACAAAAAAAGAAATGAAATATGATGGCCTTACACATTATACATTAAAAACAGATACTGTAAGTGATCAATTGAAAATACTTCAATTAGAATTAGAATTTTGTCCGAAGTTGGAGGATTAAAAATGAATAAAATTACTTTTATTGCCTTAAATGCATTTTGATTTATTATAAATATAAATTAGGATTTGGATATTTAAAAAAATATTCTAAACATGTATTTCCGAGAAGGATTTATCCATCGAATCAAAATATAAGAGGGAATAACTGGAACACTAATTAACGGGCATACAGAATATAAAGCCGAAGGACTGCGGATTTTTTTTCGGATATTTGGAAATTTTCAGTTGATTTTTTCATTTCCCACAAATTCACGTGAATTGCTAGTCGGCTTTTTTGAGGTCTTTTTATTGGCAGAAATCCAACCCTGGAGTTTACCTATAGGATACCATTCTCCTTTAAAGTAGAGTTGAAAAAAACGAGACCGATACCGAGATTCTCGGATTTTTTCCAATATCGGTCTCGGTTTTTTCATTCTCGTTCTCGAACCCGATACTGAAATTCTCGGTCCATTTCTCGGCTTGTACTACGTAAAAATCCTTGGCACGGTACATTGGCTTAAATGATAAGCTTACCGAAAGATCAGTTTGGGCACTTGTGGTTTACACACTTCTGTATTTCGGCTAAACGTTGCTTCCACAAACTTAGTTTCCCGGTAAAGTTCTGGCCTATAAACTTTGTCAAATATGTTAAAACCCGTATGGAAATCTTTGTATATACGAAACGGAAGAGTTTAACGGTTTGGTTTATTTCCTAACCGTTAACCCTAAATATGACTCTACAGATAGAAAATTATTATCCTTCACACTAAACACAATGAGAATAAACAAAACATTATTAAAAATAAATTTAAAGCAAATAAATACATAAAAATCCAAAAATTAATTAATCACATCAATTCCATAGCTGCTCCCCTTCCTCCTCCATTATTTAATTGAAAATCTTGCCTTCCCTTCCTTTTTTCTCGAATTAACAAAATTCTTGAAAAATGTGTTAGAAAACACCCAATACCGAAAATTATAAACATTCCAACAAATAATTTAAAAGCTGTCCCCATACAACTATCAAAAGGTGGCAAGGAATTGGTGAAGTCTGAATTGGCAGAAATTGTTGTAAAAATAATTACAAAGTGGAAGAATACTGAAAATAAAATTTTTTGATATAGTATCTATGATAAAGATAAAGGTAAGATTAATATAGTAATTTCCGGAAATAACACAATACTTACGCACGGCACATAGTGCGTAGGGTCATACGACACTTGCAGATATGACATTTGCAGACCCGACATTTGCAGACGACTTTTGCAGATCGACATTTGCAGATACCGACACTTGCAGATATGACACTTGCAGATCAGACATTTGCAGATCCGACTTTTGCAGATATTAATTTTTGAAAAAAAATTTTTTTTAATTTAAAAATCTTAAAAAATCGAAGGATATAAAAATTAAAGGATATATACCGGTGGAAAGGTTTCGATATAAGACCCATACCAATTCGTCTCGACGAGCTGAGTCGAACGGCACCACTCTTTTTTCCAGAGATTCTCTTTTTTCCGGAGGTTCAAAATGTTCAAATTAGACCTATGGAGCGTCGGCGAAGCGCTTGTGCAAAACCCCGCGCTTCGCGCGGGGTTTTGCGGCACGCGCCTCGCGGGGAGTCAACGGTCGCTGGGCTTTGGGCTCGTAACATGATCCTATTCCTATCATCGATGAGATGGGCATCCCAGGATTCCTCCGCAGCAGCAAACACTTTACGGTGTATAGGTAAGGTAAAGAAGAGAGCGAAATGGGTCCAATCTGCAAAAGCGGATCTGCAACTGTCTGATCTGCAAGTGTCATATCTGCAAGTGTCGGTATCTGCAAATGTCGGGTCTGCAAACGTCGGGTCTGCAAGTGTCGGGTCTGCAAATGTCATATCTGCAAGTGTCGTGACACGAGTGCGTAGTTCCCTTCGCATTATGTGCCGTCCGTAATAAAGTTGGCGGATCCGGATCTGAAAATAGGCCGGACATCCAAAATTTTTGATTCGGATCCGGATATCCAAAGATTTCCACCTATCTGCTAATCTTAGTCCGTAAGTAACATAATCTCTCTAAGAATGGATGATGTCAAGGACGGTTTGTTTTCTAAACTAAATCCACATCCATAAATCATCACAAAATATATGACATCGAGTGTGATCAGTAGAGATGTGCGAGACCGAAATTTTTCCAAGACTCAAGACCCAAGACAAAATTTTTTCCAAGACCAAGACACAAGACCAAGACCAAAACTCCAAGACTCAAGACCAAAAATCAAGACCAAACTTTTAAATCCCATAGGTCAAATTTTTGGTTTATTTTTTGTTATTTTGATACGATCACAGTCAACTTCAGCACAATTATCTATAATTTCGAAAAATTTATGCGAAATTCAAAGAATTTCGGGGAATTTATTCTGTGGAAAATCAATAAAATAGGTTATTATTTCAGAGGGTTTGGGTGGATTAACGGGATATTAGTGATATCAAAAGATTAAGAGGGATAGCCGTGGGATTTAGCGCCGCAGGTGAAAATTTTGAGGATTATGAAAGCAAAGAAGCCAAAAATCTTCCTTTTCCTGCGCCGCAGGCAAAAATTTTGAAAATTTTGGAAGGCCGTAGGCCAAAAAATTCACATTTTCAGCGCCGCAGGCGAAAATTTTTTGAATTTTGGAGCTCAAGAAGCCAGATTTCTTCCATTTTCTGCGCCGCAGGCGAAAATTTTGAGGATTTTGGATGGCCAAGCACTAGGTCCAAAAAGGCCAAAAAACCAAGACCAAAAAATAAAACCAAGACAAGACCAAGACAAACACCCCAAGACCAAGACCAAGACCGAAAAAAAACCAAGAAAAGTCTTGGTTCCAAGACCAAGACCAAGAGTCTCGCACATCTCTAGTGATCAGTGAGCGAATTTCAATGATAGGTTCTTGTTTACTAAAGAAACGTAAATTTTCTTAAAATAAATTATCTCAACCATCCCAATAAATCTTTTTTAAATAAAAAATAAAAATATTTACAAACATATTATGCCTGTTAAAGCCATTGATATCCTTTTCTCAACTGTTTCACCATCCTTTTGAAATCTATACCTACGGCACATAACCATTGAGGCTCCAATGTCAAATACAAAAAGCAATAATTGTAGGAGTACAAAATAAAAGAGTGCTCGATACACTGAATTTTTAAATTTAGTTTGGATTATATTATACTTATATGCTTATATTATGCTTATTATGGCCTTATATCAGGGATGTCACGGGTTGAGAAAAATGTCGGGTCGGGTTTCGGGTCGGGTTTCCAAAATTTTTCTCGGATCGGGTTTCGGGTTTCGGGTTGAGCAAAAAGTCGGGTCGGGTTTCGGATCGGGTTTTCAAAATTTTCTTCGGATCGGGTTTCGGGTCGAAAAAAAGTCCGAGTATCTTCCCTTCTCAGCGCCGCAGGCGAAAATTTTGAGAATTATGGAAGATCATTAAGCTAAAAATCTTCCCTTTTTCTCCGACAAGGGCGAAAATTTTGAGAAAACTCGGGTCGGGTTTCGGGTTGGGTTTTGAAAAATAAAAATTCTCGGGTCGGGTTTCGGATCGGGTTTTAGAAAATTTCTCGGATCGGGTTTCGGGTATCGGGTCGAAAAAAAGGCCGGGTTTCGGGTTTCGGGTATCGGGTTTCGGGTAACCCGTGACATCCCTGCCTTATATCCTAGAACATAATATGAAAAGGTATTATGTCCGATAAAATCCTACATAGCGCGACCTTTGCGGATTCATACACAAAATTTTCGATTTCCTAAAGTGGGAATTCCAGACGGTTTTATGTCAGTGGAATTAAAACCTATTATTTAAAAAATTATTATTTAAAAAAATGTCAGTGGAATTTAAAAAAATTTTGTTTTTATGTCAGTGGAATTCCTGATACTAGGTTTATGAAACTAAAACATTTTAAATTAAATTGGGCCCCTAAATTAAAACCTTACTTTAAATATTTAATTTAAATATACCTACTTCCACTAGGCCTTTCAATTTGGACAGCATTCAAATTGAAACCTGACCAAAATTTTTCCCTATTTTCCAAAGGGTCGTTCCATCTTGTACAACGAATTTTTGCGTTAACATTTTCATAAACACAATCACTTCCGGAAATACCTCTCTAAAAATCTGAATTTTTAAAATTTATTTTTCAAAATTAACAATAATAATCATTTGGCTTCCATCTTTTTCCAAATGAATCCAATCATTAAAAGGCAATACAAAAATTGTAACACCCATTGCTACCAATTCTTTAAGCGAATAATTTTTAAAATATTTTTAAGAATTTCAAATTCTTACTGAACATTGTAGATATTGTGAGGCACCAAAAGCTTATCTGATATATTAAAAATAGAGTCAAGAAACATTTAAGTCAATTCTTAAAGTTTATGGGTATGTTTAGGAAAGTGCCGCTTTTAGAAAAATTGCCAAACTCGGAAAATCGAAAATTAAGTAATATTAAATAATTTATGAATTAGCCCGAATTTTTTAACATTAAAAAATAATTTTTTAATTAATTTCATTTAATTCATTTATTTAATTCCAATGATACTCCACAAATATCGTTCTCCAAATTTATAAATCTATTTTGAATATAATTTCTTTTAAGGACATCCGATAAAAATTAGAGTTTTGATTAATATATTACTCAAATTCCATTGTTCCTTATGCCAGGCTCATATAAGGAACACTCATATAAGTTTCTTCAGCTTACACATAACACCTAGGAATCCCGAAAATCGGAAATTTATTTATTAATTTCGAAAGACACTTTGCGCAAGAGAAGAGATATTAATACATATTCAATTTATACAAATATTTTTGATCTACCTGATCAAGAGGTTCAACAGATTCTATAGATGCAATGTCGTCCATTTAATTTATTTTATTATTTCATTTTAAAATTATTAAAATATTTTCTTCATTAATTAAATTATTTTTAAAAATATTTAAAAGGAAAAAATCATAAAAAAATATTTATTTATCGAAAAATAAAAATAGAAATCAATTTTGTATTGATTTAAAAAAGACTTTAAAGTCACCTTCCTCCCTTTTTAAGACGGCTGGCAATAAAGGGAAAATGGGTGCGCAGAATAAAGGTAAAATGGTAGAGAGATAATTGAGATATGTGAAAGATTTTGTTTCTCAATTTTAAACTAGAAGAAAGTCAAGTGCTAAAAAAAGAAGAAAAATAAATGGTTCGGTCGCCAGGTGAACGTAAACGTCCTTCAAGCAGAGCAAGTCACCTCCCTCTCCCCTTCCTTTCCTGCCGCCCTTCAAAATAAATACAAAAACCTTTCTTAAAAATATAAGGTCGAGAATTTCTTTCTTTTTCCTTTTTTCATATTTTCTTATCATCAACAACATCTTAGTCATCAATTAGAATTATTCATTAAGGGAATTGATTTAAAACTTTAAAATTATTTTAAAGAATAATTTAAAAAATTTAATTTAAATTATTATAAGAAAGAAGGAAAATCCAGATTAAAAGAGGAAATGAAAGCCCAGGAAGCTTAGTTTGTTGAGCACCTATAGGGTGTGTTAATAATTAAAATTAATTAGAAACAGAAACAAACTGAAATTTGATAAAAAATATCCTCCTTAATTGAATAGTTAATAAAAAATAAAAATAATAAAGAAGGAAGGATTGTCTAGGTAACTTTCTTTGATATCCGGAACAAAAAATTCAAGGAAATTAAGGGGATTTGATATATTAAGGCTAGTTACAATGATATCAGTGATTTGGAGGGATATACATAGAGGAAATTTCGGATCTTCTATCTGTCTCAAACCATTCTTTGGAAATCCCTAGTCAACAACACCAAAATTGTTATCATGAACACAGGCTTGAATTAAAGTGGCATTTCTGTTTACAACAATAAATCCAGAAATAAAAATTTTGAGAATGGGTTTTTAAATCTTGAAATAAAAAAATATTTTTTGGCACTTTCTTCTCTTTTAGTTAAGAATAAAAACAAATCCCAAGAGAAAGAATTGTTTTTGCTAGTAAATCCAAAAGGATGATTAGTACACAAGGACATAAAGAAAAGTTTTCTCTTGCAAAAAAGCCGGAAATTCTGAAAAAAGGGGAAAATTTGAGACTTTTTCTAAAATAAATTTTGGCGATTTATTTATTTTATAAAAATTATTTTTAGATAAAAAACATAAATTTTTAAATGAAAAAATAAATTTTTTAAACATTTCCAGTCATTTTTACTTTAAAATTTTTATATAAACGATTTATTTTTGATTAATCATTGTAAATGACTAATAAATAAATTTATTTATTTCTATAATGGATTTATACAAGGTGAAATAAATAAAAATAAATTAATTTAAAAAAATAAAAAAATAAATATAAGTAATTTTAAAAATTAAAAAATTTTAATGAAACTTTTTTTGTAATAATCAAACTTGATATGGGTAGATATCAGAGGTGGGTCGGAATTCTGATTTCCGACGTTTTTTCCTTTCTGATTTCTGAAAAAATTTTGATTTCCGATTTACGACTTTTGAACTAGTTCCGATTTTCGGCTCTTCCGATTTCCGATACCTCTGATTGTTTCGACCCACCTCTGGTATATATAAATGTAGTGTTTCCCCGGCCCCATTCTCTCCACAACGAGTCGACAACAACCCTCCCATAAAAAAGTTTATTTAAATTAATTATTAAATATTTAAAATTTAATTTAAATAAAATCATTTAAAAAAATTGATTTTTGACATTGAAAATTTTTTATTCAGCTGACTTTAATCAATGCCAAAAGTCATGCCTTAAAGGGCAATTATTGGCCAGCTATATAAAAAATATTTTTCCATTGTCTTCGAGGGGAGAGAGAGGGGGAATAAAATTATAGACAAAGGAAGCATATGATTTTGCGCATGTCTGAAGAATTTTTTACTTGACAGAGTCTTGCTTAGACATTCCCATTTAAAAATTCAACGGAATGGGAGGAGTTGAAAAAGCTAGTCTTTATAAAGTGGACAATCAGAAGGCATAATGAAGACTTTAAAAAGTCTAAAACCTCTTAACATGTCTAAAACCAGCAGAAAAAGTAGAATAAAAGAAAACACGGTCCGCTCCGAAAAATCCGAATTCTGGATTCGGAAAAATGATTTTGCCGGGCATTTATAAAAATTATTTACTATATTTAACATAAATGTAAACAATAGAAATAATACATGCTTTTTCAGTCTGTATAATAGGGGTGTGCTTCTATTGGAGGGTGTGCGGTAATAGTTTGAATGAGACCCCCTCTTTTTTCTCTAAAAGTATTAAAAAATGGTCAGTCAGTCTTAGGTTATAGAACTCGTCGAGCTCTGTCGAATACAATATTTGATGAGAAAAAAAAACCCGGTTAATTAAAAGAAATCTTTGCGCAGGGTTTTTGTCTATATTTCGGCCCTATGTTAAGACCCTATGTTAACACCAGGGTTTGACTTTGGTGTCATTCGACACAGCTCGACGAGTTTATAACCAAAGACTGACTGACCATTTTTTAATACTTTTAGAAAGCAAAAAGTAGGGGGGAGTCTCATCCAAACTATTACCGGGTGTGCTTCTACTAGAGAATTTACGTTATTTTAAATCTCTTAATCTCAATCCCTTAAAATCCTCTAATATCCCCGAATCTACACGTAGAAGAATTTTTATATGAAAATCTGGGAATCACTCGGGTTTAAGATTTTTTTAAATTTTACTTTATTTGTGGCCCTATTATTTTGTGTTTTTTATCTAAAATAAAATTTAAATAATAAAAATTTATCCATTATTCGAAAAGATGTCCTTTTAATTAATTTTATTTTAAAAAAAAATTTTTAAATTAAAATATAATAGTAACATACAGTGCGGTGCATATGTTTATCAACTTTACATTTGTAATTTAAAAAGAGTTGAAATTATCCGAATTGGTAAAAGTAAATCGGAAATTTTTCTGCAATTTAATACATCTATTTATCTAGTCTAAAAATCATCTAAAAGTTTTATTTCATCACCATAAGAAAAAAAGTTATAGCAACTTAAATGTTGCTACCCTAAAATCTGCCGGTGCATATGTTTATCAACTTTTTTTAAATCGAAGAAAATTTTATATTACAATATTTAAAAAATTCCACAAAAATTTATGTGGACATTTCCATCGATATAGTATAGAAAAGTAAAAAGAACGAAGTCTGTAACTTATTTCTTCATCGAGATCTCGAACCCCAAAAATCAACGGAAAATGGGGGTACAGTTCTTTTTCTTTTGGGCTCATTTGAAAGCCCATAAAATTTGCTACAAAATAGCCCAGGTTTGATTTATTCTAAAAAATAGTTGTTTGACTTACATCGACTTTCACATAAAAATGGTCAAAAAACCCCTAAAATACCCCAAAAATGATAACTTAAAAGATTGCCCTATCTCCATCTCCATGAGTTTTTATTAGAAAAATAAAAATTTGGATTATTTTGTAGCAAATTTTATGGGCTTTCAAATGAGCACAAAAGAAAATTTTGTATCAACGGTCTAGGGGGTAAAAATATTTTTTAAAGTACTGTACCTCCAATTTCCGTTGATTTTTGGGATCTGAGATCTCAATAGTGAAAGAAGTTACAGACTTCGTTCTTTTTACTTTTCTATACTATATCGATGGAAATGTCCACATAAATTTTTGTGGAATTTTTTAAATATTGTAATATAAAATTTTCTTCGATTTAAAAAAAGTTGATAAACATTTGCACCAGCAGATTTTAGAGTAGTAACATTTAAATTACTATAAGTTTTTTTCTTATGGTGATAAAATAAAAGTTTTAAATGACTTTTAGACTAGATATATAGATGTATTAAATTGAAGAAAAATTTCCGATTTACTTTCACCAATTCGGACAATTTCAACTCTTTTTAAATTACAAAAGAAAAGTTGATAAACATATGCACCGCACTGTACATATTTTAATTTAAAAATTAAAATGAAGAAAACAATTTTTGTTTTTTTACTTATACCATTTATTTTGCCTGCAACAATTGCGGCTAAAAATGAACTAACTGCTGATGAAAATGAATTAGCTTTAGAACTTGAGAATTTAGAGCATGAGGTTTTAGAACACAAGGCTTTAGAACATGAGGATTTAGAACAAAAGTTGATTGACAGCCATGCTAAAATTACACACCTTAGTAATTATTTTGATAAAGAAAATTTATAAGTATTAATATTTAAAATTCAGAAAACGTTCAATTTTACTTTCCCGATCAAACACCTGTGGAAGAAATAAATTCAATTATATTTCGTAACTCAAAAGATGTAATAATCCTTTCCGAAAAATCAAGAAATTTTCAACAATTAATTTACTGTATTGAAAATGTATTATTCAACAAAAATTATGAAAAGAAATTGTTGGATTTATTTTTTCTATTAAAAACAAAAAAAATAAAATCAAAATAAATTTAAAAAATTTTAAAAATATTAAATCGTTGAAGCACTTTAAAAATGAATTGAAGCGAACATTAAAAAAGAAAAATCGTTTCATGATTCGGAATTTGGTATGTAAATTGTTTTGTTATTATTATAATTTTCATGCTGAGGAAAAATTCATTGGATGGGAGATGGAATAGAACCATCATGGAAAGGGCCCAAACCGAAAGAACAACCGACTGTGCCACCATCAAACCCGGTGCAGGGTTATTTATTTTTATTATATTCTTTCTGCAAGTGCGGAAACACCAATTATAAAATATTTTTTATGACCGACATCTCTAATCGGAATCCCGTTAACCCCGTCATTATTATATATTATATATACCTAATATATATTATTATACCATCATGGAAAGAATCCAGACCGTAGTACAACCTACTGACCAGAGGTGGGTTGGACAATCAGAGGTATCGGAAATCGGAAGAGTCGGAAATCGGAACTGGCTCAAAAGTCGGAAATCAGAAATAAAAATTTTTTGCGGAAATCGGAAGAGAAAAAACGTAGGAAATCGGAAGGTATCAAATTTGGAATCAAACCTTAATACATCGATATCCTACTTATCACCTGATACACGTATATCCCTTCCCGATACCCCTCTTAATTATCAGTGGAGCTACTGGCCCACCATCCAAATCGATGATGGGTTATTTTTATTATTTTACATTATTTCCTCGGTACACCTCAATTGAGTCCCGACTCAATTGAGTCCCGGACCCTATAACTTATGAAGGGATGGTCACTTTTTGTTACTTTTGGTACCAATGGATAGTGCATTAAATAGGCTACAATATACCAAAAAATCAAAATTCCTGACCGACTGGTAAAAAAGTTATGATCGATAAAGTGCCGAAAAATAAGATTTTTTTGAAAAAGTTAGTTTTTAAATCATAACTTTTCTATCAATCGGTCAAAAATTCTA